CAGCGAATATCGATCTCCATAAATAAATATTATACCCTCTCTGCACACTGAGTTCACTCGCACGTTTCCGAACGTCCCTTTGATCACGTAACGGAGATATCGCGATTTTATCCATATGAGACTCGGAACCGATCCCTCGAGGTATCCTTCTGACTCGAATTTCGAAATTGTTTATCTCTATTAAATATAGAGATAGGTTATACATTTTATGGCCATCGTAATTTCTTTCTCCCTGTTATTAAATTGACAACACCAATCCATTTTAGTTTCGATCTTCCTGTCGGTCTCTTATTGTGTGCGATTTCGACCGTTATACATAATAATTGTTGCATTTGGTTTCCCGAATAGTTCCCGGGTTTCTTTGTTTGATTATATTATCTGCTTCATAATTATTGAGATTTGGAGCGGAGAGTGGGATCTATTGGTTTAACAATAATTTATTGTTTTTAGTTATTATTTATTATATACAATAATAATAATAATAATAATGATCCAGCCAGCATCTCCGGCCTCCTGTTGTTATAGCTTACATTTTCATTTGTAACTAGTTTTTTTTTTTTTTTTGTAACTAGTTTTTTTTTTTTTTTCTATGAAACTATAATGTAACCATTTTTTTCACCTAACAGAGGGTTCGGCGTCATCGTCGCCGCAGCAACGGGTGTAGATATTTTCGTCGAATACGAAAAACCGGATTCTAAAGTACTTAAAAATATTAATTTAAGTAGGTAGGAAATCGAGATTCGAAAAGAAAAACCACATGAAAAACCACAACATCATAGTAAAACTAAAAACATTCATCGCTACGCTCAAATAAATTAGTAAAATTGAATATATTCTTCAGTATACGTATCCAATTATATAATAACAAAAATCGGGAAAATATTTGTATTAACGCCGCCAAAAAATTGTATTATTTCGGCCAGGCCGAAAAANTATGTAAAATTTAACACAATGGCAATCGTAGAAAAATTCTCGACCACCATTGAAAACGATAACGCCGTTCGTCCACGATTGAAGGTAGTGGACTTCAATTATTTATTTGGAGAGAAAAGACGGCGATCCCCGTCATCGTCAGATTATGAGTTTTCAAAAAAATTCAAAACATGTTCTCCAAAATACGACGAAGAACCACCGCGTAAGTTTTTGTATTTCTTCATTGCGATATTATTTTTGTTCACTATTGTTGTCCACAACGATCGCAATGTTACTAAATATTATTTTTATAAGTATACACACTTGAAAACGCACTTTTATAGTTCTTCAATTAATAATTGCAAATTAAAAACTTCATCAGAGCATCAGCCGATATTAAATATACTTAATGTACACGGCTACATTAAGTAACTGAATCCTTTTTAAATTCAATGTAGAGAGTACACTTACGGTTAGGTAATGAAAGTGTATTATCGAAATCCGGTTGCAAAANATTATTTTTATAAGTATACACACTTGAAAACGCACTTTTATAGTTTTTCAATTAATAATTGCAAATTAAAAACTTGGAGCATCAGCCAATATTAAATTTACTTAATGTACACGGCTACATTAAGTAAATGAATCCTTTTTAAATTCAATGTAGAGAGTACACTTACGGTTAGGTAATGAAAGTGTATTATCGAAATCCGGTTGCAAAACCGACTATGTACTTAAAAATACATACTGCAACTCTCCTCTAATGAATTTTCTGAAATGTGCAGTATTTCCATCGCGAAAACCGACTCGTGCGTCATACGGCCCGATGTCGTCAGCCACTTACAGCTCGACGGTATCACCTACGTACAGTCCGGCGTTGTTACCTATCTACAGCCCGACTGTGTCATCATGCCCAGCGTCGTCTCCGTAAGTATCATCGACAGTACTATGAGGATCGAATGAAATATAATACAATTGTTCGCACAGTTACAGCAATAATGCGTCATCACCATCAGACGTGAATACGGAAAGTTCGTTTTACGAACCGATATTCGTGTCAAGCGATTCGGAGAGTGAAGACTCGGAAAGCTGTGACCGAATGAACAGTTTTACGCGTACTTACAACATGATTTCTACGCCATACAGCCCGACACACACGCCGTGTAGTCAGGTATCGTCACCGTACAGTGCGGAATCTCTACCGCGGATTCCGGCGTCTCCGGTATACATTCCGGCGTCTCTTTCGCACGGCCCACCGTCACCGTCGTGAGTATCTGTTTCATACAGTATCCTAAATTAATCATAATGTTCGCAATTTTAAAAAAAAAAAAACTGTAAAAAAAAACCCCGTATAGGCAAATCGCGACTTCGGAAAATGTTTAATCATTTATTCGCACAGGTACAGCTATAATGCGTCGTCACTATCGGTCATGAATACGGGAAGTTCGTTTTACGAACCGATACTCGTGTCAAGCGATTCGGAGAGTGAAGACTCAGACAGCTGCGACGAAACGAACNCACGGCCCACCGTCACCGTCGTGAGTATCCGTTTAATACAGTATCCTAACTAAATCAAAATGTTCGCAATTTAAAAAAAAAAAAAACTTTAAAAAAAAACCCCGTATAGGCAAATCGCGTCTCCGGCAAATGTTTAATCATTTATTCGCACAGGTACAGCTATAATGCGCCGTCACTATCGGTCATGAATACGGGAAGTTCGTTTTACGAACCGATTCTCGTGTCAAGCGATTCGGAGAGTGAAGACTCAGACAGCTGCGACCGAATGAACAGTTTTACGCGTACTAACAACATGATTTCTACGCCATACAGCCCGACACACACGCCGGGTAGTCAGGTAACGTCACCGTTCTGTCTCTACTGCGAATTCCGGCGTTTCTGGTATACATTCCAGCGTCTCCTTCTCACTGCCTGCTGACCTCGTCGTGAGTATCCGTTTGATGTAGTATCGTACCTATAATGTTCGATATTTAAAAAAAAAAAAAACCCCGGTGAAGACAAATCGCGACTTCGTCAAATGTGTTATTACTTATATTTTCGAACATTTAGTCGAATATTTTGTACCGCAGGCAAGTATGAAATTAAATATTTATATGTTTGTTTCGCATATATATATATATATATATATATATATAGATGTAGCCTTGCCTCATTACAATGGTATGATTTGCAATATTTTGACGAACCTGTATGGATTTCCAAGTGACGAGGAATCCACGTGGATTTATGGCCATCACCATACGATGATNATTTTTTTTTTTTTTTTCAATTGTGTTACTTTATTCTATTTGCTTCTGTTAATAAACGATACAAATGTACGATTGTGTTTCTTTATTGGACATCTATTATACAACCGTTTCGAATAATTGGTACAAATCATGTCTTTGTGAGAAAATGCTATTTTTTTCAATAATATTACTCGTGTATTTTATGTTTTTGTTGTCTTATTCGAAACATTAAACTAATGCTTTCATTTACAAGCTGAACTACCCGCCTTTGCCCGTGTACTATCACTTTTATGACTCTTGTAAGAATTTTTTAATTAAATTTAATTAATTAAACTCCTTTTACGTATACAATTATCCAACGATATTCGATAATTATTATAATAATAAAAACGTTCACAACTCAAAAGCTCCTTTGTAAACATCATTGACCCTCGTTAGACATCGAACCCAAATTTACAAATAATTATCGTTCCAATAATCAACATGGGGATCGTTATGAGAAGAAGAATTGTTCATTTTTCAACCCATTTAGTTTGAACTAAACTAATTCCAGCTAAACGTTTTCTAATGGCATCATTTGATGAACGACCAAGATTTGATCTTCTTTTTGGCATTTTAAGATTGACTACCAAAATAGGACTGACATATTTTGCAGGATAGGTGGGAAGTTATCAAAATATATTTTAAAGTCCCGTAAAAAAAAAAAACCATTTATATTTCTAATCATAAAATGACAAGAAACCTTTTTTGTTACATTTAGGACCTATAATTGCTAAGTAATTTTAGGATTCTCCAAGCGGTTTTGATATTAATTTGGAAAAACTGGAAAAAGACGTAAAAATAACTGGAAAGTTAATGGAAATAATGGTTTAATTATTTTACATTTTTTTTTTTTTTTTTTGTAATTCAGTTATATTCGAAGAGACTAGACAATTTGAAATACAATTTATATTAGGTTAATAATATTTTCAAAATATTTTGGCCATTTTTGAGATATTTTTTTATTTTTGTTTACGAGTTATGTAAAATGTTTTCTTTTTATCGGATATACTATACGGATATAATTGTTCGGCCCAACAGAAATACTTGACAATTTGTCTGGAGGTCCATTATAAGTTGTACTTGGTGAACAAAAAGTTAAATGTAATGTAGTATTTTTTTTAATTATGGTTTTAATATCAAATTATAATGAAAATCTTAAACATAACGACCTTTCAAATCATGCGTACACGAACTCCGCACAGAATCGTTTTTTTCATAAGCAACGGTTTGGCTCAGTTTACAAATGTAAATTGAATAATTTTGTGCACACACATCCCATCACCTTTCCAACGTGCCATCTACAACAGCGGCGCACCCATCGGCAGTATAAGCTTTTTTTTCTTTCGGCCCGTAGATCCCCCTCGGCAATTTCCTCTTGGCGTGTTTAGGCCGATATAGGAGAGTAAAAACACTTCCGAGCGTGCAAAAAACGCATTGCGCCTGAAATGCGTTTCCCGTAAAAATTCCGTGATCCAAACCGGTGAAATTTACATTCCAGGCGGCGAGACGGAGTCTATAACATTGTACCGACACGTGCCGGGAGAAGAAATCGCATTGGCGCGGCTTACACCGATACAATGCAATAATAACCGTTCGTTCGTTTCGTATTGCGGCAGACGGGTAAACAGATTTTTATTACTGTTATTGATATTTATTTATTTATTATTATTATTTTTTTTTTTTTTTTCTAGACACCGTCCAATGTCCAAAAGCTGCAGTAAACATTGAGCGCGATTTTTTCTCTTTTTTTTTTTATTTTTTTACGCCACCATCGACCGACACGGGCGTAACGATTTTATACGCGAATTTCAGTCGGTCCACACAGGCTTCGTAACGTTATTATTTATATATGAAAAGGGAATAGTTTTAAAATATTTACAAAACATTGCGCGGGTTAAAACGTTAAATTCGTACACATAATATTATTTCTTTACCGTGACCCGGAACGATATACGCTACAATATCCAACATTAAACATACAAATATACAGATTGTCCAGGCACTTATCTGGGGGGCGGGGCATTATTTTTTTTCTCTTGCGAATAGTCCGATATTCTCCCTGGACTAACTATAGTGCGTGTCCTCTTTTTTTTAAATTTGTTTCCTTAGTGTTTCTACCGGTTTTTAGTACCTAGCTAATTCTGTCTAGTTGGCGGGACATTTTTTGATATTCGTTATGTACTCTTTTTTTTTTTTTTTTTTTTTTATAACGGGAAAATCGGCAGAATAATTATTCGACAATGATTTCTGTTAAAATTGTTAAATACTCGGTTTCATTCTTTTATTTTTATTTTTATTCTTTTTTTTTTGTAATTTAATGAAAATAATCGCGGGGAACTGATATTTTTACCAAATACCTATTGATAATAACGTTTGTTGATGGTGGCATATTTTTCAAAATATTTTGGCGTTATTTAAGTTACTTATAGATATTTGAAATTAAAAATTGTATTTACAAAATAAAAATTGAGATTCATGTCGTAATTTACACCGTTATTTTATGACTATAAACCTCTACTTATGTCCCCGTTCAGAATATTGTGTTTCGTTTGAAAATAAGATACATGCGGGCGTGAGTGGGTAAACCTCTTCTCCAACCTCTTCAAATACGCACTTGATACTGCTAGACGAATATTAACGTCTATAGCTGTGTAACTAAGCTGAAATAATTGTTTGTGTTTAACGAATCGACAGGATCGATAATGTAGATATTACCGATAGTGCCGATTAAATAAAAATGTTCAAATTATAGTGGTCATAATGTCATAATGTCATAAAGGTCATAATGTTGATAAAATAATAATGAAAAGATAACAGTAGTCGACAAAGAAAAAAAAAAATGTTATATATACTATCACTCTTATCTGTATCTTCCATAAGTCATAACTGGATTTAGAGTTTAAAAAAAAAAAAAACACCGATACTATGGATCATAACCTTATTAAGTATCGCCTATACGTGGTTAGTGAATACGGGAGCGAAGATTATGATATTATATATTGTGTACGCAGATATAGGGGAAGATCGTTTTGGATTCTGGGCGTTAAAGTGTCGGGAATTTTTTATTTTTTCGTCCGACGCGGTCTGAACTATTTTTTCCACTGAGAGACTCCGTCTGCGGATCAAAATTGTCGTGTTATTACACCCAACAACTTTCTTGTCGGTGCGTCGAGTGGAGATAATATTTGTTTTTAATTATTATTTACCGTACCACCAGTTTTCCTCGTTCATAAAGAAAACTCCGAGACAAATCAACACACCGACTAGATTGAAAATGTCACACCCTATAAAGTTTTTGATAGGAACAAATTTCATATGGAAAATTGACTTACAGACACACACACACACACACACACCAAATTATGGTAAAACCAATACATTTCGCTCAGGATCAAAAAATTAAGTGAAATGGAACAATAATAATAACAACAATAATGTTTTGAAAATTTTACCACTTCTAGAAAAGGCTTATATATAAGTACTCTGTGGAGATTTAAGCTCTATGCGATAAATTTTAACCGATTTACAACAAAAATCCAAAATCGAAAATAACAAAACAATTAATGCCGTAAATTTTCCTGTCTTTCGTGAGTTTTTTCCGGGTTTTCTCAATTATTATGAAAACTGGTTGGAAATTGCGAAAACCACTTATTTATTATTCACCAACTCGATATCCAAAATGCAACAAGAAGTGTTTAAAATATCGCTTTAAATATCGAATAACAGGACAATACTTACAAGGATAGTATTTATGTTGACAATCAAAAAGCTCTTATATTACTCTTAATAACTTGATAATGCTTAATAACGTTTGATTAGTAGCTCAAAAGTATAACTGCACTGCAATTTAAAACGTAAAACCGTACACCGGCCGATGAACCAATGTGAAATAATGAACTGATTAGTCTAAATAACTGGAAGTTAAAACATAAATTTCATTCGAAATTTAAACAACAGAACACAAAGTTGACAATATTATATTGTCAATATCATAATATAATATGTTAGTATATTTCTATGTCTATCTACATCTAATTATCTAGAGCTCTAATCACTATAATTGTTTATATTTTATATTTTATTGTATTACTAGCTGTCCCGGCAAGCGTTGTTTTGCCATACAAATTATTTCTAGGGAATCTATAGTCTAGAAAAAAAATAACTAACTTATTGTAAGTCTTTAAGGATGTGGTAAATTGGTGAAAGAGGCATGGAGCGCTGTGAACGATGAGGGAATATAAAAATAACAAAAGGCAAACATTATTTTTAAGTTATTATAATTTATTCCTTAAAAATATCAATCTCTTAATGCTATAGCGTGAACAATATTTTTTGTTAGTCCATCTTTAGCTAACACAAACAAACTGGATGGTTTACCCACTCGAGAGCATGCCACGTATAATTGTCCGTGTGAAAAACATGGTGTTCTCAAATCTAAGCCACAAATAAACACACGTACATAGGTTAGGTTAGGTTAGCAAAATTAGCCAAATTGGCCCAGCCGTTGTCAATTGTTATTGGCACGCGGGTGCCACGGAAACCAATAATACAAAATAACCACATAGAGTGTATATTATCTCTCCATGGCAAAATAATAATTGTTGAATATCGTGCGTGCTAGTATACTTTGACTTAAGAGGCCATAACTCCGGAACCACTTATCGCAGAGCATACAAACTTAGACAGTAGCCGATTCTCAGACCTACTGAATATGCATATAAAATTTCATGAGAATCGATCAAGCCGTCTCGGAGGAATATGGGAACGAACATTGTGACACGATAATTTTATATACAAGATTTCACATTTAAAAACAAACCGTTTAGATTTTTTATTGACATTTTTTTTTTTTAAAAATCCAATATGTCATAAAGTAACTCTCGAAAATACTGGCGGTGTTCAAAACTATTTATAATTGTACGTCATTAATTTTCAAACAATTTTTAAAGTTTGTTTTAAATTCTATTTTATTCCCCGTTAATTTTATTAACGATAAATTATAAGCGTATATCAGATTCACGGTTTAAACGAATAGGATACGAGTACTATTAATTCGTACGACATTTCGTGGAAAAATCAAATTAACCATTTGAAATATTACGCATCCAAATAATGTCGTATTTCACTAAGCCTTAGAGTCGGACGAAAAATTTAACGCCGCACACGATAATAATAATATTTCAATAAGTATTTTATTCGGTATTGTATGTATTGTACACATTGTCATTGTAAATTTATAATATCATATAAGTAATACAGGTACAACGGTGGCGCATTTCGAAGACCGTCGCCCCGGACGGAAAAATGTCAGGGGCGGTAAAATGCTAATGCAAACGCGATTTCGGACGACGGTTTTTAAAAGGAAGCGACGGAAGCGAACGTCGACTTATAGGCAACGGGAATATAGAAAACGTTAGCCGCGCGGACGGGCCCGCGTAAACGGTAGACCGGGGTCGGAAATTCCTTTTTGATTTTTTTTTTTTTTTTTTATTTTTATTTTTTTTCTGCCCCGGGACGTCGAAACCCTCGATGCGTCACCGACTGTACGGGCGTAAACGTTAGTGATGCGACATAAATCCGGATTATTCGAAAATCCGAAAAATCCGCGTTTCGGATTTCGGATGTTACGTTACTAAATCCGGATTTCGGATTCAGAATTCCGAGGATCCGGATTTTCGAACTTCGGCAAAACCGGATTTTTCCCATCACTGGTACAGGTACTGTCGCGAGGCGCCGCTGTCCGCGTCGTCGTCGTCGTCGTCGTCATCGTCGTTATTTACAACTGTACTCCTCGGTGCGCTCGACGCACGTGTCGCATTTGACGTAACAACACCAGTAGAACGTGCACCGGCACTGTTTGGTCTTGGTGAACTGGTGCGTGTTGTAGCCGCGGCCGCAGCACATCAGGTCGCAGCCGTCCGTGCCTGTGGACACGATAAAAACGCATAAATATTACTGACAGGCGGTGGCGCCGATCGCCTGATTTATCTACGACAACATACTGTGTCGCGGTAAATTTCGTAGCTGGATGGAGGGAGGGGGGAGGGGGGGGAGGGGACCCACCAAGAGGTTGAACGAAAAAATCGCTTGTACACAACGAATTATGTGGACGCTTTGATTGTAACGTTGAAAAATAAAATCGGGCGGCCCCTTATTGATGTACGGTTTCATAGTATATTTTTAAACGCTCCGGCGCCACTGACTGCTGACGGGGCGAACGCGCGGCGAAAATCGCGCAAACGGAAACGTCGCGTCGGCTCACCTCCGGACGTCCGATTACAGGACCGGCCGTACGTGCCCAGCGACCCGGTCCCGGAGTCCCGGTCACAGTAGTTGGGCGACTGTTCCAGGTAAACGAGCTCGGTGATTTTCGGTTCGTCCGCCGCCGCCGATCTGGCCGACCTCAGTCTCAGCCTCAGTCTCCCGGGCGACCGTTTGCCCGACGTGGTCCTCTGGTTCGCGCCGCCACCACTGCCGCCGGCGGTCGCCACGGCCGCGGCCACGCCGCGGGCCTTCCGGTACTTGCGCATCAGCGCCTTGCCCACTTCCCGGAAGTGCGGCAGGCTGTGCCAGCACGTCTTCATCGTGCAGCTCCCGGATACCCCGTGACACTTGCAGTCCGTGTTCAACAACATTTTGACGATCTGCGAATACGACGTTAATATTATAATACATAAGTACGGCCCGTAAAAGAAAAAGCGATTGCACAAACCGGTGATTTTCCATCCGGGCATAGATAATGTTATTATGATAAACGGATAGGACATCGCTATAACTAATATATGGTACATTTGGTATAATGTTTCCAAAGAGAATATATGTCACCACACCGGTTACTTGTGGTTATATATTCTATAATATATAATATGGTTTTATTTATGTTTATTCGGTAGAATTTTACTAAGAAAAAAACAAATGTATTTTAGATTCCGAGTGAAGTGCTTGAAGGAGCTTGTGGTTTTATAAAGACATATTTTTTTTTTCTGTGGACAGCTATTTTATCAGAAAGTTTACTCTGATTAGCAAGTACAGCACTAATTCTGAAAGGAAATTTTCTCTGGGCGATACTTTAAAGAGGTCATTTTTTGAAATTCTCATTAATATTCGAGATAATGAGGAAAACCTGGTTCTTTAGGTTAAAAAAAAATTGAGAGATTAAAAATTAGGTTGTCATTGGCAACCGGTTTTATTAATTTTTTGTTATCAATAAGTTTTTACTATTTTAATCTTTTTTTAAATAATTATTGTTGTCATGGAAACGCACATTGTTGTAATCATTTTATTATAATACATTGTTGACAAAGCAACACTAACAACTGAACTCCGCTCAGAATCGTTTTTCCGTTAACAATGGTTTATCGTTGAATATACATGTGTTTATATCTATACATTAAATTTCTGTCCGTATCCTACATTTTCAACTTCCCACCTACAACAGTGGCTACATCCACGTGTGAAGTATGTTCGCCCGTTTAACTTTTTAAATCACTTATTAATTATCACTATTGATGTTATCACAAATCATTATTGGATACGGCCATATTGCGGTAACATATTATGTTCACTTCAGGCACACGCCAAATCACCTAATGTTCTATCTATGTATATATTATCTATAAACCCGGGGGTCCGTGCAGTTATGCATTTATAGCTAAAAACGTCGAAGAATACAAAATAAAATATTGATTGTACATTTTTGAATCGAGCGAGCGTGAAAAGGATTTTTAGCCAAGGTGGCATTTTATAGGGTCGACGAGAAAACGAATTGTAAAATTCATCAACGTCCTATCTCTAATCATAACATTCGGGTGGGTAATTTATTCAACCCGGACACAGGTAATCCGGATGCGTCGTGCCGTCTTGGTTCTTCCCGCCGTGCGTTTATAATATTATACTTTCGTACGCCCTTTAACGGATATCCGGTTTTCGATTCGATTTCGATTTATAAGAAAAAAAAAGTAAAAAAAAAAAAAAAACCTCTCAAATATTTTACCGCGTTTGGTCGGCGTGTGTTATAGGGACGCATGACGCCGAACGCCGCAATACATCAATAATAATGACGCCATCGCCGCGTATTATACGACGTTCCCGCCGTTGTCGATTTTTAATATACGGCGAACCCTCGCCCTTCCCCCCTCGTTTTACATACTTATTTACAAGACTGGGCATCAACGGGTTAATAAGTTAAAACGTCACGTTAATTATTGACTTGTAAACTTAATGAATTAATTTTTTTTTAAAACTTTTAATTTAATTGTCAACTTGAGGAATACAAAATAATTAACTTTTCATTCACTAGGGTTAATTTATTGTATTTAAACGAGTTAAGTTGATTTCAATTTGTATTTGTACGCTCATGTAAATAAATATATTATTATTTATTATTATTATGAACATTTTAAAATACGAATTGTCACAATGAAATGCCTGTTTTTTTTTTTTTTCTTCTTACTGTTGTCGTCGGTTGGAGATTTTAGGTAGATTATTAGGCCATTATAGTAGGTAATATGTCCGTGTTTTTTTTTTAATTGACTTAACTTGAGTTAAAAAGTTAATTTTGACTTTTGGTTAACGGCTAACTTGAATTGATTGATTATTTTGAATTAACTCTATTTAAATTTACCTTAATCGAGTTGAAAAAAATCATTGACTCGTCCGGCCTAGCTTTTTAGTTCGTTTTGTATACGTATTTGCGTCGGGTAAGGTCGACGTGATATCCATCCGCAAGAACGACGGATTTTTTTCGCCCCCGCGTATCTGAACGTTAATTATAATTAAATCTCAATCCCGCGGGATAAAATACACGATACAATATATTATAATATTCGACTTTAATTAAATTAGTGTATGTTTGTGTAAATAAAAAAAAAACCCCCCCGTTCGTATTTTTCGAAACCTGTATAAATTGCGTATCGCGAAAAATACAAAAATATCGCCGGCGGAAACGCACGTATATTTGTTTAGGACCGATATTTTCCGTTTTATATAAAAAAAACAAACAGGTAGGTAAACACGGTAAACATTACATTATACGAATAAACCTGTGTATATTTTTCGTTTAAAAATGTTCTCGGGATACGTTTTTTATACTTCGATATGTGACATTATTTACAAGAACGAGTTTTACGGGATCTTGTTTTTCCACCCGATCCGTTAAAAAAATAATAATAAAAAATGTGCGCCCTTTACAATGATTGAAGTTAACCGGGTCGATTGTACTAGGGATACGCTATATGATTTCCGACAAAAATTGTTAGGGTACTCCGCTTCCCCTCGCCCGTCCGTCCGCGTTCCACCACAATTCCAGTTTGCTGCGAATATTGCTAGAGGTAATTTTTTTTTTATATATATCAACAATGAAAACCCGACGAAAAAACGGGAAAATACTTTTTTTTTATTTTTAATATCGTCGGTTTGGACAAAACCTACGGCACGCAGTGAAACGTTGAAAACAGGACGGATTTTTAAATTTAATTTTCCATACGGGAGCTCACAATTGAATTTTGTACTTATTTTATTTTTTTTCTGTAATCATTGCCGCAGGGTCCCCTTTGTTGCGTGGAAAAAAACGCCTCTGCGGGTTCCTTCTACATACTCACGTGACCTAGTTCTTTTTCGGATTCCTTCGTAAATCATAATACGCGTTTACGTCTATGTACCGAAAATCAATAACGTTTGAAATTAAAATTAATTTGATCAACAATATTACTGTTGTTATATTTTATTATCACGTGGGCGCATAATGTATGATTATAAACTATTATTTTTAGTGACGCTAGTTGTTAATAAACAGTACCTAATATTGGACGGGAACAATGGCACAACCAGGAATTTTTCGAAGGAGAGTGTCACATGTCTACATTAAAAAAAAACACGTTTTAACACATTTGTATTAGTTAAACTGCACGGATGTAGGGAGGTGTCCAGACATCCAAAACACACACCCCCCTCCTGGTTCCGCCACTGGGTGGGAACAGTCCGGACATTATCGTTATGTTGTATATAGAAACTCGTATCGTTTTGCTATCGTAGAAATGAAGACGGATGATGGCCACCTCCTTAAATACTCTTGGTCTTGGAAAAATTCCGAGACAATGTTACAGAAAAACCAACCGACACGAAACATATTAAGATTACGTTCCGATTAAGTACGTTCCGATGTACTGTAAACGCGTGAGACTGCCATTGGATACATGTTAGACGGAGGTAAATTTTAGCCTTACAATTTGCTCGCGAAAAAAAGGGAAGAAATTTCGAAATCGTTATATTTAAAGGAAAATGTCAGAGTGCTTGCAAGTTGCCGTATTTCCATCCGTTATACTTGTTAAGTTTTCATATTTTTACTATACATAATAATAATTATTAAAAGAAAACAAAAAGTAGACAATTTTAAACTCATAAATTATCTATGGTTATGACATCAGCTATACAGGATGTTTTACAGCGTTATCCTTGTGCTAATAATTCTGTCAACATTTATTTTTTTTTTTTTAATAGGTTATTGTGCGAGGGGGACACATATGTACAGATTAATTTAATTTTTATTTTCATCCCTTAATTATTGCATAAATGTTTAATTACATAGAAAATTAATGTGAAACAATTAATTTTCAATAGTTACGCGATAAGGAATCACAATCAGCACGGTAATTCCTTATCTCCAATTGAATATTAATTTTTTGCACGCCTATTTTACATACATTAAAGCCACTATAACTAAGAAACCATGAATCGGATATGAATATATGATATATTTAAACGATTAAAAAAATGGCTATTTTGAAATTTTTGAAAAGTGGAAAAATAAAAAGTTATTTTTTTCAATAATTTAGGGATGAAAATAAAAATGTAATTATTCTCTACATATGTGCCCTATTGCAAAAAGCTTGACGAAGAAAAAAAAATTATTGAGTTATTAGCATAAGGATAACACTATAATAGCTGTAGGACATTCTGTATATACTCGTATATCTTAGAAGATAAGACTCTGGTTATAACCTTCGCTAATTATCTAATATATATATATTACTTTCGTTTTGTCTAATAGGTTTGTTAAGTTGGTTCTGGTGTAAACTATAATCTAATTAATTTTCGGATGTGAAACTATTCCATTATTATGGCAGACGGAAGTATGACTAAATAAATCGATTTAACTACAGTACGTTTAAAATCATATAATTCAATATGAATTGTGATTCGGATTATTCAGAAGACAATGACCGAACACCACCTTAAAAAAATAATATGAAAAGATATTTTAATGTAAAAAAAGGAAATTTTAAGTTGGAGAATAGAAAAGTTAATAATTATCATCTAAAAGTACCGCGTGAGATACAGTGCAGCACGGACAAATTAATGTCAACAGAATTGTGTGATACTCAAGATAAAAGTCCTGCTCCAATATTTTGGCTCGAAGAGAGGGCAGAACATTGAAGCGTACGAAAAAAAGACAAGATCTAAAAGACATGTTGGGAGAAGGGGGTACACCATTGGTACCCAACCACTACAGGACGATTGAGACAGAGATGGATGGACAGGATACGGAAGGACCTATACTCTTGCTGGGAATAAATAATGGTGGGAAAATGGCAACTGGGATAGAGGAGTTCCGGAATGACCTGTATTAAAAAGCCAACGGCGGAGAAGAAGGAGAAGACGGCGTTCCTCTAAGCATACCGAGTAACCAAGTATACCTTTCTGCCGGCCTTGTTGTTGTGCAAATTCATCAGGCTCCGGGGATCGTTGAAGTCCGATTCCTGGGCGTCCAGGAACTTGCGAGCGAAGCCCATACCAAATCCTAGGTCCACGCTGCATCCTCCCCATTTCCACACGGCCGCCGCCGGTCCGGTGTCCAGGGCACTCGGGTAGTGCGCGTCGCAACCACAAATGGATATGTTTCCCCGGCTGCACGCATCCATGAGCGCGTACGTAACGCCGGCGCTGATCACGGCGTACATGTACGCGGCTTCTCGGCTAGCTGCAAACATAAATTAATAAAAACCGATTAAAATGGAGACTGTTTGTGACGAAAAATCGTTTCAAAGACGAATAGTGTGGAGTCACCTTAAGAATTTTTGCTCTCGATTATCGAAATCAATTGAAAATGTAACCGTGTATACTCTACATCTGGCTCAATACTCGGTTAATATTTCGTAGCCTTATGATAAATACCATATGATACATAATTTTTCCTTTTCAAAATGTAATTTTCACATTCTATGGCCGTCTTGCTATATATCTTTACGTTAGTAATAATTTATACCACCCAGTAAATGAGTTAACGCAGTCGAATACAACAATAACCATGTATAATATCAAATTACAAAATTATACTATTTACAACTAGGGTATACCGGTCATAAGTGACGGCTCAACCCTACAATTGAAAGTAGTATTAAAATCGGTAGTAGACCTGCGTGGTGTCCAGGATTGTCAATGGGCGGACGTGTAACGTGAATAATAATCACGATTCGAAAATGAATCGTAGAGTCTCCTTCCTAATCCGACATGAGACCCCGACATTGTCGCGACACCGAAAATTTAAAAACCGGATCCGTAAAAGAGAATTTATATTCGTTAAATAGAGTTTTTGTATTTCCTTGTGACTTGGCAAAAATATGAAATTTCAAGATAAAATTACTAAATAAACACTCGTAATTGCTGTATTTTAAGCAAATCGAAAAGAAGGACATAAATCGTTACATTCCTTCCCCTGCGCGTGCTACTGTATAGTATTTTATAGTGAAAATTATCAAAGAACACGAGACATTATACTATAAAAAATGACTTATTTGAATATAAATAATAAATTGTTAAAAAAAAAAAAAAAGCACGTTTTAATCTTTAATATCGATACCGTCTCATCCTAGTAAGCCCGGGATCAATTTAGTATGTTTGTATAATGGCGATAAAACGACAATAAATCGACAAATAAACATATAAACGCGTTTTCGAAACCTTATCATTTTATCAGTTTTTGATTGTGTATTGCATGGCCTATTGTTATTACCCATTTTTTTAAAAGTCACGTCTCGATTTCTTTTTTGACATTCTGTCAAATCCTTACTTTAAAATTAAACGGTTAAGTACATTTGGCTCAATTTTAACGAGATAACAAAATTATACATTGAATAGGCTTACAAGACGTTCGCCAAATCTTTTTCACATCTATAGACAATGGACATTGGACGTACTATACAAACACGTATAATACGTTTTCGGCTAAACCGTTTTAATTAAATATTTAAAAAACGTAAAGTAAATAAATATATAAATAACAAATGTCTACATAAAAATAAAATGAATTAATTAATCAATGCGACCGGTTTCTAATTAAAAATATTCATCATCAGGTATATCACGGTCGAAATTTAAAACGCGACTGAATATAAAAAATTAAATGAAGAGAAACATAGAAAAAAAAATAAAAAAATTGGTCGTTTGACATTGACATAAGATATTATTTTTAAAATCGATTTGAACATTTAAAATATTATTAAAATTATTTTTCTCTATTTCACTGTGTATGTGTAATTCTTCTAAAGCCGAATTAATATCAAAACTTATAGTATGGTTTTTTTCTAAAACATGTTTAGCAAAATTTGAATTAAAGGCAGTATTTTTTAATTTTATTTCCGAAATGTGTTTTTTATATCTTATTTTAAAATTTCTAATTGTCTTACCTGTATAAAATTTATTATAACTAAATTTAAGTTTATATATATACCAGCGTTTTCAAAAGAAGAACGATTTTTTGTAAAGTTTTTAGTTCTATTGTTTATATATTTGATTAAATTTTTAAATTATTTGTATTATTGTTCTAAATTTTAGCGAATTCGTTAGACATATTATTTTGATATTTCATACCACAATAGTTAATAATATAATTTGGTGGGTTATGTATTTTTTTTTTCTTTAATACGTTTATGAATTCTTTTAATAGTATTTAAATTGAAATTATTTCTATGGGCTATGTTATAGATAATATTGAGCTCGTGTTGATAATTATGTTTATTTAATAAAATTCGTTCAAGCCTGTAGAATATTGAATTAAAAAATGACATTTTTTGAGAATAAGGGTGACTAGAACCATGTGGTATTATAGCATCAGTTTGTACAGGTTTCCTGTAAACACTAAAATCAAATCAAATCCATTTGAACCTCTAAATAAAATGAACGTGCTATCAACATATCTATAATACGCTTTTATACATTGACTGTATCTTTTGTTGTTGATAATATTATTGGTTTCATAATTCTGCATGTAAATTTCAGATAAAAGAGTACTTAACGGACCACCCATAAATAACCCATCTTTTTGAGATTATAATTTATTATTGTATAGGAAATAGTTTTGATTAATAATTGCATTTATCACTTATCATAATACTCCAGGTGACGCATTGATTCATTTATTTATTTTATTTTTGTGTACACATTTTTTATTTATACATTTATTTATTTTATTTATTTACGAGTATTAACCATTTTAATAATTTCGTTTTTACTTTATTATTATATTATTTAAAAACGATTTAATTACAAACCTTACTAACGCAATCCATACGCAGTATAAACGCACTAAATAACTAATAGACAATGCAGTAGTTGTCTATGTTACTTGCGCCTTTTGTAAAAACTCTAAAATCCTTTCGAAAGGTACTTTTTTTCGGTGTACACGATTTTCGAACACATTTCACGATTGCACGATAAATAATAACGAACGCTTGAATTTCCATATTTTCGGGTGAATAAATGTTCGAAATGTCGAGAGTATCCCAATGCGGTTATTATTATGTGGTGTGACGCGCATATCGACGGCGTAGGTTTCGTTTCATAAACAAGGGTATGTTTGGGGGGTATGGCGGTCACAAAATATTTCGGATAAACATGGCACGAACAAAATGTTTATCCGTCGGCTACGAGATAAAAACCCATCGATTCGTAATGTAACATATGTTTTAACACGGTCCGCAGAGGGTTCGAACCTTCAGGGACATGCCACTAATGCGACGAGGACGCTATTAACAATCGTTTTTACCAATAATAACAATAATATTATTGTTCACAATTTAATTTGGGTATTACCGCTGTTTTATACAAATGCCTAGTGAACAGCTCGAATCTTCCAGCTAAAGTCGACGAGCCGGTCGATTTTTTCACTATAGCAACTCGATTCTGTCACTTTTAAAATTACCGATTTTTTTTTTTTTTATAGAAAGACTAATATTCGGGGAAATTCTTTTGGCTGGTTCTACGTAACAAAAAGAGCGGAAACGAAGGAAAACCGGAGAACTACAGATAACATTTGGAGAGAATAATGTTTTAGAGATTGTCGAAAACGGAAAACTGAAGCCCACGAATAAGATGTGAAAGACTCGATAAAACAGAAGTGAAATCATTATAGGAGCGGGGAAAAATTTTGAAAATACACACATTACATTAGTACAAGTGTTGGATTGTTGATAAAAACTAAGGGCGTCCCCCCCTGAATTTTCACCTCCGAGCGCCCTTGTTGACCTCTCGTCAGAATGATTTTTTTTTGTTTACGATTATGAGATTTTATGCTAAACAACCGCGCAAACATTTCAATTCCTCCATTCGCCGCGCCGTAACAAAGTTATTTACCGGAAGTTGAACAACGCCTCGACGTACGTTTAGCGGCGTGTTTCAAGGGGCCCAGCTGCGGGCGTTTTCAATAAACCGTAACGCTCGGAATACTGCAGTCTCTTGATTTTCACAACCCAGTTTCGTAATTATAACATCAGTTGGCGTGTGTTTACGTATTATTCGTATACACTCGGAGGCGACTTTCCGTATTACCGAAAAACACGGGTTCGCACTTAAAACCTATTATCCCGTCCGTATTGTAGTAAATTTTTGTTGTCACGTGTATAGTATAATATAGTATATTTAGGAAAAAAAAAACCGGTAGTTTATTTTTCCGACATTTCCGTTTCTGATTTTCGAGGATTTATTATACACAACGAGACGTAATTAATTTTTTTCTTTTGGACGCAGTTTACGTTCGTTTCATTTATAATTCAACAGTATTAAATCAATACTATACGTATACGTAAACACAATTTCCGTTTTCATTAAAGCGGCTTTTAATGCCTATTCAACGGGGCTCGATGTATTTGATTCATAATACTTTGAAACGCACAGCCTTTGGACGAAATTCCATCTTCACTGCAGCTATTAGAATCGGTTAAGTTAAGAATCTTCTAAAAAGAAAAAAAAGGTCACAGCTAATTAATTTTTTTTTTTTTTTAATAGCTTTATTATTTCGTTGTTCGCAAAATATTTTACAGAGAAAAACGCCACAGGCATTGACGTCATCTTTACGTACTATATTTTATATTTTATATTTCCAGCGTCAAAGCTACGATTTGTGTTCTAAGTATAACACGTGATTTTGCGCTATGTTGCCCGGAAGGTTACAAACTGTACTCGCGTTAACGAGAAAAATAAGCGCCATAGCTATATAGCACAGGTAAAGTTCAACTTAATGTATTCTGAAAAGTGAGCAACTCCGCTATAAATATCCAAAAAGAGACGAATCGTCTCGAGCGAATTTTATAGTTCAAAAGTTATAATATTACCACATTAAATGTTACACAACAATTATATTAACGACCGTGATAACGATTGTCATAACAGGCACATTTATTCGTATGAGAATTCCAATCATTCCGATCCGGTAATAATATTGCCACGTCCTTTTCGAAAACGCCGCGAAAACGGCCGGTGTACTCGAGATCGTTGCTCGAGATAATGCGGGACGGTATCGCGGGCCTCCCTCCTCGAGCATGTACGCGTTCGTTTGAAAATTCGAGTACATTTTATAATTAAAGTGCATCGCGACTCGTAAAGTTAATGATGAGTACCCACCTACGCGGACTTATAACGCGTCTCGCCGTGAAATATTAATCGTTTCGCGATGAACGGGGGTTTTAATAACGTTTCCGCTGTACCGGGACCGCCGGATGTTATAATACGATACATTATACAATAAACGAATACCGCGCGTCTGCGTCTTGTGTATAAATTATTTCGTCTTTGATGTACGTGGAATACGAAAAAAAAGTAAAAAAAAAAAACCAAAGGTACTTTGTTCCGCCGTCGGGGTCTTCTTGTTCGTTTGCGATGCGCGGAGTTCGCGAGGATCCCGTGTACGGGGTCGCGCGACGCGAGAATAACCTTTGAAGGCAACGCGTTTCCAAGGCGACCGACCGACCGAACGCGCAATACACTCGCGGTGGATACTGTTGCGGAAACGAGATTTTTCTCCGGTCGAAGAACGATGACAAGTATATGTACACGGCGGGAAAACAAAAGCGCGAAACGGCCGAAAAAGCGAGAACGGTTAGTAACGGTTGTCCGCGTCCGTATAATAATATATTGATAAAATCGAGCGTCCGCAGACTGCAGCGCGGCGTACCCGAGATTCGGGAACGGGCGAAAAACAAGAAAATCGATCGGAATGAAACAATAACAGTTCGTTGTGTTGAAAATAAAGTACACATTTTAAATAGGTATTTGATTCCGACCAATCGAATAAGAGCCGGAGACGCGTCCGCAGTCAGAGAATTTGTACGAAAAACTCTTCTGCTTCGGTTATATCTACAGATTCGTTGATATCTTTGTCACATAGCCATAGGCACACATACGGGGGTGCTAAGGGATGCTTAGCACCCTTAGACTTCTAATTAGCACCTCCTCCCCCAGTTTTTCTAAGTAATTTATTTCACTATTTCACCAATCATTTGTAAACTATTGTGCTTTATTGGTTTGAATAAAATATTCATTGTTTTCCATTACAAATATGTAGGTCACGAATTCACGAAATTATCCTACCCCCCCTTCCCGGAAATCGATCCTGAACACGTGCCTGCTGATTACATGTCTCGTCTGTCGCAAGCAGAGAACTTAAAATGTATACGCAGTATCCGACGTACGGGATCCGGAATGCACTCGGAAGTCGGATTTCCGAAATTCAGTCCCTAAAAGGTGATCAGTACTCAGGGTTTTCGGTATTTTCGGAACGGAATGGAACTGTTTTCGTCGATTTACGGGTTACCTTGACTACGGGAATGCCGCGTAACAATAGAAGGCGTAGTACTGTTATATCAATGATTTTTAGACGGAGAGACGCGGATGAAATAGATATAGTGATGGGCGTGACACCGGAGACACGTAGTTAAATCGAACGTTTCGATATCGTTATTGCGCAAGGATTCGTTAAAAATTTAGTTTTTAAAATGACAAAAAAAAAAAAGGGTAGGGAATTGAAATTGTGCGTGGGCAACGCCGGGCCCGACAGTATTGAATATTTTATTATTGTTAACTGAAAACAAATGAATCCTAATAAAAAATATTATATTATAGTCGATTATACGATACGATACGATAAATTTGTATTTCGATGAAAAAAAAAAAAAAAAAAAAAAAAACGAATGCCGCGTCTCACGTTATCGAGACCGCGAATAAACCCTGTAACGCGTAAATATTTGTTTTTATCATTTCGCGTTTATCCGCCGGTATTTTCTATACCTATACGGTGGAAATACAGAATCTGCAAACAGCGCGCTGGTCCAGAAAGATATTTCTGTTTAATCCCTCTGTATTTACTTTCACCGCGGTACGAATAATCCGGATTTCGCTCCGTTATCCCATATCATCGCCCCTTAAACCACGTGTGCGCGTTTATTTTCATAATATATATAATAACGCGCTACAGTATTCCGTTATTAGATTTAAACGGGGTTGGGCAGGCCGGAGTCGGCTTTTTCCACTATACAGTTTACCGGTTGAGTTACCCTACGAACAAAAATGAATAAAAATCATTAATTACTGAACCGGGTTAAAGCGTATTGATTTCAAAAAAACGTTTAGACATTTTTACGCGATTTTATTTGATTTTTTTTTTCAAATCGTCAATTTCCGATTCCCGGTCCATACAGTTGCCCGTATAGCACATTAATACTGCAAAGCGTTAAAGTTTTTACAAGGACTATAACGTCAGATCATTAGTATTCGAATGGACCGTTTTCGCACGTAATAATATTAAACCCGTACTACGTTTCGAAAATCACGATTTAAAGTTCTTCCCGCGTACAGGAAACACGTATCTATATGGAACGAAAACGTAATGGTATAAAAATAACGACCGCGAGATAGTCGCTCGGTTTGAATAATATATTGAATTACACATACGGTTGTAACGACGGCGCGACGCAAAGACGTCGTCGCGTTTCGTTGAAATTCCCATAAAAAGGAAACTACAAAAAGAGACGACACGTGAAAAATGGCTAATAAACTCGTATCGTAACAATAAGATTACATCTTATACGACTGTACAGCAGCGACTCGAGCACGTGTACTCATCACGCGAACGGTTTCGGTCGAGAAAACGTTCGTTTAGGGCATTAAACTATAAAGACGTGATGCGCGAAACCGCTTAAACTCGTATTAACAGTAGGAACGCCACTATAACGGGCAAACTACGGCGCCGAGGTTTAAAAACGAAAAATCTAATGAAAAGATAAATCATAGGCGAAAACATATATCGATACGAACTCCTGGATCTAAAAATCTATTTTTTTTTTCGTGTTTATTAATTATTGCCTTTGACTCGTTTTTTCGGTTAGTGAAAATCCTTGAAAACTTTCACGCCATACAGACCGCCTGCGCCTCGTTCTTACTAAAAGGTACGTTTATTTCGGTGTATCGCGCGCTAGACGACGAGGAAATACTCGGAAAGTTTTTCCGTGCGTACGTTCGCACAAAAGAAGTCGACAATCGAATTACGGGGCCGTGACGTGTATAAAAACGAATCGTGTAAAATAACATTTATCGTTGACAAGACGAATAACCACGACTCGAGAAAACGCGAATAGTAATGAATTTTTCCATAAAAAAAAAACGCGCAATTGTTGCAATATAATTTCCCGACGGACTCGAAATCACATCGCTGAAGCGGAAATCAATAATATTACTTCGACCGTCCAACGGCGCTTCTGCGCCCGTCCAACGTCGTCTCGTATAGATTACGGATTCCGAAAGAGTTGATTTATGGACCAGAGTCTTACACATCACAATAATATAATAACAACTTCGCGTCGAATACGCATCATGTCTGGGCGTTTTCCGAGTCTCGGGACCCGCGACGGGGGCGAGCGCGTCATCAATCAACGGAATTTAACAAAAGTATATAAATTAACGAGTTTTAAAAACGCCGCTGGAAAGGCCGGTGTCGGACCCGAGTTTCGTTAAATTTCGCGAATCAACGTTGATTATTACGAAAACAATGATTTAGAGTCGGGCGAGTTCGGTTTTTTTCAATTTCAAAATCGTAAAAGTGTAAAATATCTTCTGAGTCGATTCGAGTTCAAAAGTTGAGTACTAATAGAGTATACGAGTACCAAAAAAAAAAAAATGTTATGTTCAGTAGAGTACACGGCAATCGACAATGAACATAAATGTCGTTATCGTGTAACACCGTAGTATAATAATCAGTGGCGTATCCGGGGTTTATTTAAGGTAGGGTGTTTAGAGAGGTGTAAGAGGATTTCGGGGGTCTATAATCTTCTTCACCTTACGCGATTCGCAGGGACGGGCAGGGACGTAATCAGAAAAAAAGTTTCAATGGACGTTTTCAAAAATCAGTTGTCGGAAATTATGACAGTTGTTATTTTTTTTATATAAATATAATATATAACCCAGACATGTTTTTTAGTAGAAGAGGTTCGGGGATGTTGGACGCCAAAAACACCCCCCTGCAGAGTACATGCCTGTGGACGTCTGCGAGGATCGTATCGCAAACGGAATGCCGCGGGTTTTTCGAACCGTTGCCGCGGCCGCAGTCAGCGCGCCAGGGTCGATCGATATGACCGGGATCGTCATAGCCGCCTGCTAGTAGGGTTTCGGAATATTACTGTCCGAAAATTGAACTTATTATGGGCCAGTGGCGGCTTGAAAAAGGTGTATTCAATACACGTGATTCACAAAAAACCGGGTGGGTGGGTCGTCTGGGCGTTCAGGAATATAATCTATAAGAAGCTTATTGGAAAAGCTAGTCTCAGATGATCGTAACACGTAACGGAAATAGACGGACGGATTAGGACGGTAAATAATTAAATATTATTAAATATTTATGACGTGTCGTCTCGAAAACGAATCGCTTGTTTAAAGACACAAAACTTAAGATATTTCATAGACAAAACCGAATGCCGAACAATATTAAACACAATAACGGTTGCGGCCGCGGCCGCATCGCATCGCCATCGCAAAAATCGTAGTGAAGACAAAAAACGAAAAAAAAAAATAAATGAATAAAAATTTCCTCGGGATGACGCATTATTCGGCGTACGCGTCCGCCACGCGATTTAATTCCGTTAACGAAGTTTCGTTTCCGACGCGTTTCCCGGAGATATACAATAACTTTTCGTTGAGTATTTGAATACCAATGAGGATTTTTTTTTTTAGGGGTCAGAAGGGGACAGGAAGGGGAGAGTTGGAGGACGGGCAGTTCTGGAGTTTTAAATTGGACGCGTACGGCCTTTCGACCAAAACATTATTATTATGTTACCGCGGGTAAGATTTATCGTTTTTACACGGTGACAGACCCTGCACGGAAACTCGGACGACCGGCAGGCTGCGGGCCTCGTACGTGACCTAAAATACGCGGCGAGGGGTTTTCGCGTGGCAATTTGGAGATTTCTACAACGCATTTTCGAAAGGGCGGAGAAATGCCCGTCCGGCGGCGTATCGACTCGGCGGCGGCGGCGTGCTCTCCCGCGTCCGCGGCGGTCGGGAACGCAACCCAACGTACGCACGCCGTGACGTCGGCAGTGCCGTAAAACGGAATCCCCGCGCGATCGATGTGTGGCCGCCGCGACGTCAGCGGCCGCTAACGACGTTATTATTTACGACAACACGTAGGTACTTGTTTGCCCGGGGAGCCGAGATCGGCCAAGTATTTTCCGGCCGGAAAATTGTAAACATATTTCACTTAGAAAAAAAAAAAAAACATTGTTTCTTCCGCCCAATTATTAACCCTGTTGTTGACCACGTTTTTATTACTGCCGACGCCGTAGACGTACACCGCGAAAACTGGATATCGTTTTATTTTTCAAGCCTGATATTATAGCTTTGGAGCGTAAAATCAGAAAAACGACTAAAGATTACTGTATTTTTGTACGCGTTATTTATTGAAATGGCTTACGTATTCGTGCGGTGGAAATCGGTCTGAAAACACAACACGCGCGGAATCGAATCCTTTTTCCGAGTACCTATATTTCGGTTAAGGCCGCTGAAACTCTCGCGGTGAAATGTTCGTCAATAAGACCTAAACGGTTTGTAAAAATCGTGAAACTTCCTGTTGTTTTTCGTATTAAAATTGTTTTTATTTAATTGTTTACCGTCGGTAATTGGGACATAAACTCGAGTATTAAACGAATTTCAGTCGTATTTTTTTCCATACAACTTATTCGTACTACGTATACGAATGTTATTTTACATTTTCCAAACATGTTTTATACCGGAAAATATCATATCACGAATTACATTATACTGTATTGCCGGTCTGCGCAGCGTATACAAATCCCGAATAAGATATCCGGCAGTTTCGGAAAATATTATCGAACGATTTCTATAACGCACTGTCGGTATGGGTTCCGACGCAATATATATTATTTTATTCGACGAGCATAAGCCGTTTGGGAGGGTAAAGGAAAAATATTAATTTTCCCGACGGGCTCGTTGTTTCGTTTATAATACTAATATATAAGACGAAAAACTCTGCGGCACCGTCTTTGTTTTCTCGCCACGCCGAACGAAAACTACGTCCGAAAAATTAACCGCCGAAATTGACTTGTATTATTATTATCATATATATATAATATTGTACAACGCATTGTCTCCCCCATCATTTCCCCTACCCACCCATCGGAGTAATGGGTCCGACTTCGCCGTCACGTAGGATATTATATTATTAAAAACAATGTAGAATCGTTTTTCGGTCGGACGGAAAGCGCCCATCCAAATCGATTTTCGGAGGAGTGAATTCGCCATTCTACAAAACCTGTATTTCGCTATAATAAATAACATTACAATATAATAATATTTAGACTTTCGCGAAGAATTACGTGCTTACCGTAACTGTAACTTGGCAAACTGTGGGTTTAATAAAAACACGGTTTTGAAAAAAAAAGGTCTATTTGAATATATTTAGAAAAAAGGGCGGTTTCCTTTAAAAAAAAAAAAATTGAATTCGTATCGCGGAGATTTAATACATTTTGAGTCAATCAGTGAATACAACGATGCTGGTTTTTTTTTCCTAATTATAATTGTATTCAGAAAGATTTGTTTATATTTATTATTTATGTAACTTAAAAATTACTTGAACCGAAACTAGTAGTTATACCCTTGATTATTTTATTATCCTTTGGTTTTGAATATTTTTATAATTTCATAATAAATTATTTAAGTATACACTTTATCGTTTTTACAAAGTTCTGTACCTTGAGAAAAAAAAAATGTGATGCTAGGACGCCAAAAACGTTTTTATTTTTTAAAAGATTTTTTCTCCTACATCAAAAGTTTTCATATAAATACATAATAATATATTCTTAAAGAATCGAGATACGCTTTCAAGTTCCTGCAATAACTTATGAACACGGTCAAAAAAATTTGTTTGGACCGTTTTAAACGAAATAAATTCATTTTTTTCTAGCATCATGTTTTTCTTTTATGTGTAGACCTTTTAATTTTGTCAGACATTTTCCAATAAAGTTCAAAAATATCTAAAAAAAACCCTATGTGAAAAGTATTGGGTGTTTTTTTTTTACTTTATAGCCTAGTGTGATGCTGATCATGTAGCTGAAAATATAAAAGTTCAATAACTTTTTTATCTTTTATAAAAAATAAATATTTTTCTCTTTTATTTGAAGTTTTTTTTAAAAAGTTGTATGGATTTTGTGGTGCCGTGTTAATCTCATGTCAACCGCCCTACATTGTACAGAGAACAATCCTAAATTTCAATACATAGAACTTGTAGTTTAAGGTATATGAAAAAATACTTTTTTAAATGTTTTTTTATTTATCAATTTATATGCTGTATTTTTCATATAAATATTGTTAAACTAGACTTTTGGTAAAATCTTAATAAGAATTATTTTAATGAAGGTCCGGGTAAAGTTGTTAGCCCCTTATTTTTTTTTTTTTTGACCCTATCTACTTTTACATTTAAAATGTCGGCAACCCTAGATGGATGCATTGCGATAATGTTATAAACGCAAAAGTGCTAGAGAAGATTTATTGTAGTGTGTGTATTGTTTAATTGAATTATTAAGAACGCGTGAAATAAAACAAATTAATCGCACAACCGTATCGAATAAAAATTAGATGAAAAATAACATAATATTATTATTATTGTGTTGTAACGATTTCGTATATTATTGTTTTAAACGAGTGATGATCGAAATCGATATTGGACTTGCAATCTCGTCTTGGATCAAAACAACGACTTTTGGTCTTGCAATAAAGACTAAGATCTTGGCCAAGATTGAGTGTGCGCAACTCAAAAACTAGTTAATTATACTAATTTTTTTCTCTTTTTCAAGAGAATTTAAATTCAAGAACGCAATAAAAATTAGTCAAATTTTTGAGCACAAGAGATCTCTTATTATGTTGTAGAACGAAACATTTGGATCAACACGCCCAGTTATAAAGTAAATGAAGTAGACTTATTGCAATAAATTCATGTATTTATATAACAATAGTAAGGTCACAGGTTAGATGTTAGATTATGTTATACCAATAATTTTATTCATACCTAATTTATTTTATATTTTTATTGATTTTACAAAGATGTTTATTTTTTCTATTATACAGTATACGAAAATTCTACCAAGCAGCTTACTCCGATGTATATGATTTAGACGCTTTTCTGAAAGGAAATTTTCTCGGGACGGTACTTTAGAGAGTTTTTTCAGCAGATGTAAAAAACAGGAAAAAAACATGAGAAAAATGTAGGGAAAATGGGAGAAACGGTACAATATTAAACAAATATTATTAAAGAAAATACGTAATGCCTGTTTAATTATTTTACCATATATGACATGTATATTGTTGACAAAACCCTACTATCGACTGAACACCGCTCAGAATCGTTTTTTCATAAGCAATGGTTTATCGCTGCTTAAAGATATACATTAAATTCCCTTCAGTGTCCTATCTTCTCGACTTCTCATCTATAACAGTGACCGCACCCGTCCCCATTATCCTAGGACAGGTTTCTCCTAAAATCACTCCCACGAAATAAACAATATTTTTGATTTTTCGCAGTCTCAAACCGGATAGTCGATATTATTATATAGAGCTGATTGCCACCGGAATATTGCGATTTATAAAATAACAATTATGAAACAGAACCGATAATATTTCCGAAAGTGTTATTTTGATATTTTGAAGAAACGAGCCGGAGAATTCCAGAGGAAATTATCAAACGTATTAACGGACATAAAATACTGCAATATAATTATCGGTTATATTACGGCTGTAATATTGTGCGCACGGGTCTGTGTCGCGGAGGAAAAGTACCATGTAGAGAGGAGTTTGCAATCGATTAGCGCCGAGCGCTATATTATTCATTTTAATCCGATTGCAGAAACGACGTAAAACTATGTACGCATCATGTACGTGCGCAATGTTAAATAATTAATGCGGATATTATGCGTGTAGTTCGGTCGGAAACGCGCGTTCGCTTGAAGTTTTTATGTTCGTTAAAACGTCGAAAAGAATATTATCGCCTAATTCGGAGGGGGGGGGGGGAAACCGAAAAATAATATATTTCGCTCCGGCGCAGAGTTAGCCGCTGTTGTCTATGACAGGCGTTACATTCATAACGATTGTGATATTTCGCGCGTTCAGTTCTCGTTTGAAAACTAAAATACCGAACGGCAAACGACGCGATCGCAGTGTTCTTATTATTGTTCTTACATTCTTGTCATTAAATCTGATCGATTCGCTGTAATATTAAACCCGTCCTGTTGAACGCAATCATTTGCGCTACGTTTGTAAGACAGGGAAACAATAGACGCGGGTGTGACGTCCTCTTTACGATTTTATTCGTGTGTATTTACATTTGCCATATTTTTTAGCGGAATATTCGAATACGTATTCTATAGTAATTCTAAATTAATATCTGTATTTGAACTCGAAATACTTTTTATAAGCCTGATATAACCTATACCAATGTATAAAGCTGGACAAATTAAAAACAAATTTGTTCAACGTACTATAGTTAAATTATCGAAAAAAAAAACTCAACTGAGTTAAAGCTTATTTTACAATACAAATGAATCTTACTAAATTTAGTAGCCAAGTAGAGTGACACATTTTAAGAAAAATAATAAACGTATGTAATTTTTCAAAAATGATTACCCTATTAAAATATTATCAAAATTACCTACACTCATAAACGTATTTCATACCCTAATATTTGCATTTTTTAAAGATTTACGATTATAAACCCTATATTTTTACGAACAATACGTTTTAGACGGAAAAGCCGACAAAACCGTAGGAATTGCGTTTGACGGATTTTTGATAGCAAATCATGATTTTGTTTAGGTTTTTTACTAGACTACGTTGGATTTATTATTTTTTTTAATTTAATTATCTTTATCGTGAGCAAAATGCCCAAATATTTAAAGTACATTTTTGAAAACTTTTAAAAAATGTTAACGATTACTGGTAAAATAATAACATGTCTATTTCCTAGTAGGTATTATATTTTATTATATAATATATCCCAGTAAAGAAACCGAGAAATCATAATCCGTTTTTTAAAATTGAAATTCGTCAAACACATAGTTTCCTAAAGTTTCGTCTAGTTTTTAAATCTAAATCGACTAAACTTTAAACCGACATCGAAATCCCCTTATAATAATATATAATAGTCAAGTTCAAAATTATAACCTACATCGGGCTATGACTTATATCTTGACTTTTGACTTTTTAACTAGTCACTGTCCAGCTTTGCCTGTATGTATATTACCAATGTCGGATATATCCGCTAGGCGTTTGTGTCTAGGAGTCCCTCAGGCCATAGGAGTGCGTAGAACTTTGATACGGGCACGGCACAATTTTTCTTATAAATACTCCGGCCTCGAGTTTTATGGAATATCGTCATTTGACTACCACTACGGCCTTTTGTACGCAGATTTAATTCACAGTATTGTTCAGACTTTAATTGACTTTATCGCGGACTGTAGTAGTCAAATAACAAAATCAAACGACGTATTATTGATAATTTCGTGATCGAACAAAAATTTGATAGCTATTTTCACGGATTATATTAGGCATACTAGGTTCATAGTTTAAAAATCCACGCAATTGTTCATCATCGTCGTAAAAAAAATTGTATTTTCGAAATTCTTTTTAAATTTAAAAAAACACTAGCTGTTATGTTGAGATCACGATTATAGATAGAATCATTCTATAACCGTGGTTAAGATATAAATAGTTAGTTTGGATGTGATAATTAGGTGAACTGTAAATAACAATAACCTCAACAGACAGTTAGTCTATTAATCGGAAAAGATAGTGGCGGTTAATTTAATTGGCAGTTAAAGTAGCGGTTAGCTTGGTTGGGACTCGCATAGTGTTACAGGTAGATAACGTTAACCACCAGTTAAGTTTGATTAACCTCGAGTTAAACGTAATTGAAAAAACCGGACCTTAAATAGTTAGTATTGCGAATAATGTGATTACGAATAGTCGGTTAGGTTAGGTTGTTTTTTTTTTTTTGTCTATATTGAAAAAAAAGAAACCCGGGGCTTTTGATGTGCCGGGCCGACAGTGTAGTAATGGAAATAAAAAAAAAAAAAAACGTATAACGTCTTCGGTCTTTCGGCCCGGATAAGGCGGGATTTCTAATTTTAGAACAATTATTACGATTATTGATCGGACCGTCCTCGCCGCCGGAAGGTCTGTTTTCGTACCTACGCACGAATATCCTCGGCCGCCGCCGCCGTTCCCGCGATACATCAGCTATTGTACTAATTATTATTAATACGGCCGGCGTAAAAATCATTTCGTAAACGCGTGTCGGTGTCGGCGTGCACCGACATAAAATATACAATTTAATTTAGGTACATTATAAGTATACAGGTCAACACTATATGGAGACGGGTTAAAAGCATAAGCGCGTTCAAAACCGTACGGTGCGTCGTAATCCGCGTCGCTCCGGCGATTTATATTGTAATAATATACTCGTAGTAACGATGATAGTAATAATACGATTGAGACGGACCAAATGGCCTTCTTGTAACACACACGTACCAATATAATATAATAACACTCGGTCCGGTAGATCGCATTCCGCCCCGCAGTACGGCGTGTGTAGTCGTCGTGCGAGTCGTTTTAGTCTGTTTTTCGATCGGAGACGATAAATCGACAATTTTATTGCGGCCTATATACCTAGTATTTTTTTATTTCTGTAAATCCTATAATAATATATTACGCGTAACACACGTCGCACCTATACCCCGCGCGCGACAGACCCGAGGGTTTTATATTATCGTATAATATAATATACGCATTATTATACAGGCTGTCTCCTTCTTCTTCTCCTCCTCCTCCTCCTCCTCCTCATCCGAAGACGCGGATGTGCCACCCCATATACAGGTATAACACGGATACGGAATATACACACTTTCAATTATCGAGCGCGGTGGTATATATTATAGTGACAATAAAAACCAGTCGGGTGTAGTCCGATATATTTTTAAATTATGCGCGTGTAATATGTAATAACAGTGCGTGAATGTGTGTGTGTGTGTGTGTTTTTTCCAAGAAACACTCACCCTCTCTCTCTCCGTTTGCCCGTCAAATACGAGCCCTGCGTAGAGATTGTAATGTCGTAATATATATTATAGTGCCGGGCAGGTGTATATAATTATATACAATATACCGCCTGCATTCGCTAAGTGCACTCTATCTCCGCAGGAATCGGAAGAAAACTCAAAGGCGTCGAATGTCAGAAAACCGACAACGGTTTAGTTGAAAATTATTTTAGATATTTTAGATATTTTTAGATTTAACGTATAGATATATATGCGATTTCGCGTATTTTTTTGAGTCGGTAAAGCAAAAAAAAAAAAAATAGATAGTTTATACCGGAAAGTAGGGTTAACAACCCGACACGGAAAATCACACGAATCGACGAAAACCGCCTTGAGAATATATGGAGCTAAAGGACTTTTCAATGGGAACTTGAAACGTAAAATCGTTGTATGTATGACCGAACATTTGACGACAGTGATATCGAGTCTTGAACGATATCAACTGGATCTAGCTACGATTCGAGAAACAAGATGGCCCAGGGCATGGAAACCTAAAATTAAACACCTGGACCTACTTTTATTGTGGTGGACTGGATTATCGAGCAGGGGTAGGCTTTGTCGTTAACGACAAATTATTACCTAATGTAAAACGTTTTGGAGCAATTAGCGATAGAATATGCTGTCTAGAATTAAAGTGTAAATGACATAGCTTAATACCGAAAAGTATTTCATAACCTTCTAGAAAATCGGAACGAATACAAGCAAAGACAGGACTAAGACAAGAAAACTCGCTGTCGCATATAGATATAATTTGGCATTACTATTCATTGTAATACATTCAGTATTAGTATTACACCGTGTTAAAAAAAGTTATAATAGAAACGAATACGGGACCACACGAAGGAGTAAACTTATAAATACACACTATAGGACTACTGCAGTCCTACGCAGATGACATAAAATTTATGACTGAGGTCGTTTTTTCTGTTTTCATACGATTCGAAATTACATTTTTATCGAATTTTCTCCTGCACGAATCGGTATTATTGCAGTGTATTGTACTTAAATCATGTATTTATTTTTTTCCCGCCACCTCTGGCTCAAACTCAGAAATTACAATATCGTTTTGTAGGCGTGTATTGTAGTTATTGACCACGTTACAGAAGTGATAAATGTGTTTTTGCTTTTTACACCCTTACAGACCTGCCGAACGGAGCGCGAGGAGATGCCATTTTATGTATTCATGATGGCGTTATAGTATCTAATAAGGATGTGCCTTTTGAAGGTTTCAACATTCAAACACCGCTGTTACTGCTTTTATAATCAAATTTCACAACATTTTTTTTTTCGTTGAATCAAAAATAACAAATTTACATAAATTATCTACTTTCTTTAAACTGGAGCTTGTGATGAAGGCAGAGAATTAAAGACTACAGAAATGTATCATTAAAAATTATAACTATAAAAAAAAAAGTTTATGTACAATTAAATAGAGAGGAAAAAACTGTTTGCGTTGTTACATAAATATGAAAATGTATAATACACTAACACAAACAGAAAAATAATCACTCAGTTATGTATTTTGAACATAAATCTTTTTAAAATAAATTTTTGTTTTCAAATCTAAAAGCATTGAGTTATAATTTATAAGTCGGTGCTAGATAGTCCACACATTTTTTACCAAAAGATTTCTTAAAGTAAATTAATTTAGCATTAAACGCTACATGTTTTTTTTTTATTATCATTTACAATAACCCAGTACCTAAATAAAAATTTGTATTAACCACATTTTAGTTATTTTCTTAAACATTAAATTGACTGGTGTAAAATTAAATGTCTTAAAATTATCATTTGAGGAGCAATCTAACGGACCTTTCCTAAGGCATATGGTATAGTATATTATTAGTACTGATAGCTATATTACTATACTACTAATGTATACGATTTTATTGTATTGTTCTCGTACAAAGAATATTTTTATAATGAAAAACAGGTTGGAACGGGGGGGGAGCGAATTAGAGAATATTGACGGAGATCCGCTACACACGGCCCACGGAGTAGGTCTTTATTTTATCAAATTGCGATAAATCGTAAATAATTATATAGGCAAGTACTAATAATATTCGTGCGGTATATTTTAATATTATTAATATTATCGTCACACTGTTTATACGATTTCCCATTAGACGTTTTTTAATACCTACCTTGGAACAATTTATAAATCCGTATAACATTAAAGGTAGGGAAAATCGTGCGCAGTCGAGATCGATATATCGGCATATTATATATTATTATCATCCCGGATCTGTACAGTGTCTGCATATTATAATATCAGTTGAGAATAAATTAATATACAAACATTACCGAGTCGGATGTGAAATTGGTATAATATAATCCGGTAAAATTAAACGAATCGGTTAAATGTGTAAGATAAACGGATCGTTAAAATTTATTTCCGATTATAATACGGATATTTCAATATTAAACTTCAACACCTATTTTGTCATCCTAAAGATAGTTTCTCGTTAACTCTCTGCGAATGTGTTAACCATATGTTAACAATTGTTTATTTTATTTAAGGGCGCCTTATAGCTTTAATAAGAGCACGTTTATAATAATACGTTTTTAATGTGTTTGCCGCAACTGTTCATTATCGAGTCGCGATTAAATTTAATACAAAATAACATGATATTATGCAAAACGAAACGTTTCGTATCAGATATTGTTATTATTATTATAACAGAAATACTAACAATACATAATATTATTTTATAATTAATATTAATTAGTATAATGATATTAATTATTATGTTTATTCGATATTATCGTTTCGTCCGAAGAAGAGCGTAATAATAATCTAATAATCAAAGCTGAGAGCAAGTCGATTAATTACTGTAGTATTATTATCTGCATCGTGGTAAATTAATTGAATACGAGTTAATGAGATAACGAGTGAAAATGTTAATACTATTAATTTACTGAATTTAGGTTGAATGTAAATTTTAAAAGTAAATTTTTAACTGGCGTTAAGACAATTTTGTTATTATTTTCGATTCTAAGTGTAGCGAAGAATGTATTGGCTTTATTAAGATGGTTATTTTTTTTTTTATCCTGTATACAAAAATTCTACCGGAAATCTCGCTCAGATATATACGCGCGGCATCATTTCTGAAAAGGAAATGCATATGTTACTTTTGAGAGGTCATTTTTTAATTTTCCAATGGATTTTCATAATATCTGGGAAAAACTAAGATAAAACTTAAGAAAAACGGGAAATTTACGAAAATAATGCTTTTATTATTTTTCAATTTTGTTATTTGTTGTAATTCAGTTAAAAATATTCACGGAGACTTGAAATTTGGACAAAAAATTTATATTTGTCTTTTATTAACGTGGTAAACTTTTCGAAAAATTTAAGCCATTTTTGAGGTATTTATAGATATTTTAATTTTGGGAGTTTTGTATTGTAATATTTATTTGCTAGGTACTCTGTGGTAAAATTGTTAGACTCGAACAGAACTGCTTCAAAATTTAACAGGAGGTTCGTTAAGAGTCTTACTTAGTAGTCAAAAAAAAAATTGAGTTTAATGTAGTATTTATTTTTATAAGGGAATTTTAATATCAAATTTTGACGAAAATCGTTTAAGTAAAAAATTATGTGGAACAAATCTAATTTTTCAATTTTTTTTTTTTTTTTTTGAATATTTGCATATTGCTGATTTAAGAACGATGGTGAGGTCAGCATTAAGCGGACTGACTAAGTTTCGAAATTATAGGTTTTTGAAGTTCTGATATTACTATTGTTACTATCGGTATTGAACGGGTCCTAAAAATATTAAGACAAAACAGAGGCTAATTTAAACCATATTTTTGATCATAAACACATCATTCGAGTGTAAGACACTTTATAAATAAATGTACCTGTTATATTACTGTTTTGAATACGAAATAACATTTCAATGTTTTTAATCTGATACTCGAAGTATTTCAATAATACGAAATTATATATCTATAATAACTAAGGTTCGGGACATTATTATATAGCGTTTAAAATTGACAAAAATATGCTTAAAACTAAAAAAAAACCCAAAATAACCAAATAAGAACCCCGTCGAATTTCGTATTTCATTTGCATATTTTTCATAAATTTCTATTGAATTCCGCTATATTCAATATAAAACCGAAAAGTATTACACGTGAATGCATAAACACGCCCGACAACCACCCGCCTACTGTCGAAAACACACTCGCCACCCCCCTCCCGTCCCAGCCTCAATGGTCGAAACAAGTATACCGCCCCGTAATACACCTCCGACGCTTTCCCTCCACCCCCTCCTTTGTTGACACCGCATAAAGCACATCCACACCGCATCGAATTATAATACGAGAAGTATTATAGAGAAGAAAAAAAAAAAAAATGTTTGTAAAGTATTTAGCGGGGTACGCAGATGACGGGATACACTGTGTGCAGGCGTGCGCGCGTGTACATTACAACGGAAACGGCGTAGAATATTTTCGACCCTCTTCCCCGCGAGGCTTTCCCCGCTTAGCCGCGGTGACGTCCGTATTATTACGTCGTGTATTACGCGGCCGTACGATGACGTGTGCTATTCGGTGTCGGACAGCCGACACGGCGGCGCGCGCGCGTACGTCTTGCAGACGTGAAAAAAAATTGTCGAAATTCTCGAGAATAACGTAATAAGGTACGATAATTTACACGCATAGGAGGTACGTGTGTATTGTGCGCCGAGGGCGTTGCGCCGTTGTCGTCCATCGGGGTGCCGTCGACCGTCGACGCCGTACGCAAACGTGCAAACGCGTACGCACACACGTGCGTCATGGGCGCCGACGCGACCGCGCGTAACAACACACACAGAGCGATACCGTGTTGTCAGTATTATTGTTGTTATTCGCGCGCGTGCGAAATATCCGGGCCGTCGCGTCCGAACGCGTAACAACGTCGAGTATCACGTTGCGCAATAGACGACGCGCGGCCGTCCGTCCGTTCCGGCCGGGCCGCTCGGATACCGCGGCGCGGCGCCGTCCCACGCCCGAGAATCGTATTTCCCTCCCTCTTCCCTCCCCCCCCCCCCCCCCCGGTCGGTATACGCGTTCGCTCGGCACGGGTTCGCGACGGGAAAAAAAACCGATACGGATTTCCGGCCGGAAAATCGCGTTGTGCCCGCCCGACACGGTTCTCCGATAACATTGGCGGAACGGTACAACAGACGATCCGGTAGCGCGGCGGTGGACTTTATTAGAGAGACGCGTGCCTCGGTTTTCAAACGATTGCGGCCGTCCCGCGAGGCGACCTTCCGCGCCTTCTCACATATTATGATGTTCAAGTGTTAGCGTGTACGAAGAAAATCTTTCCGGGTTAAATTACGTAAAACCGTAATTACAATAATGCCGTGACGTGACGACGCTGCGGACGCTGTTCCTACTGTAGTACCAGTCGTGGACATTGGCAGTACCCGCCTGCAGCGTCTACGCTTAAGGTGGCATTCCATTGACGCCGTATGTCTTATAGACCGTGTGGAACGTTTACTGTCTAACCGAGTTACCGCACTATGTAATTACCTAACCGGATTGGACCTTTGATAAAAAAAAAAAAAAAAAAAACAAAAACGAATCGTATGTTAATAGCGGATTACCGATTGGTTCAAAACGTGAATTTAAGTCCACTTTTTCAGTCCGAAAATAATTATTGTACGTTTTCATTGAATGTATTAATAATCAAGATGCTACTCGGTAAGCTATCCGGTAGCTATGTCTAAAGGTAAAAAGAAATACCATGCAAGTTTGAGAATGAGACGGTAAATTATTAAAAAAAAAACGAAAGTATGACAAAAAAAAAAATCGGTACCCGTGATGGATCCAGGTCCAAATGTTAATCCGAAAAAAAAAGCACATCAGTGTGTGCAATTTTCTATTCGTCCACGGTAAGTGGTGTGTGTGTGTGTGTGTGTATGGATGGTAGGTGGGGCCCGACAATATAAATCATTGTGCCTTGTTGGTTAATTGAGTTCATCACGCTATGGCGCCACTGTGTAGATCTATTAGGTATAGGCACCTACTAAGTGAATAGATAATACGACAATTTGTTTACAATTATTGCAGTTCGTCATAATATTATCGTTGATCGTTTTGCATTACATAAAGTGCACTTTTATGATCGCTTGACAATTTCAAATTGTCGAATTTTTTTCCTTTGCACGCGGATCGCAATAAATTTCGGCAATGTTACAATTTTTTTTTGTCGACATTTTCCGTTCGCATTTGCATAAACAATAATTATTGTAATGCATTTTGCAGTTAAAAAATTATAAAGGCTTCTCATCTTGGTTTAGCCTCTTTAAACGAGCGTCGCCGTATCGCGGGTATTAAGTTCCTTGCGGGTCTTTTGAACAATAATATTAATTCCTACCCTTCTTTCTCTAACCTATTTCAAAGTTCTTTCTTGTTCATCTCGTTCTAATGCCACCTTCTATGTCCCCGCACGCCACCACCAGCAACTTGGTTAATGAGCCTCTAAGACGTTTAATGTCATCTGCCAATGCGGATTCTGCCTTTAATGATTTATTGACCTAATTATGTGTCATTTCTATATTATAACTTATGAGTTATAAGCTATTGTAATTTTTAATTAATTCATTTTATGTAATCACAAATATTTAATGTTGCATGTTCAAAAGAGCCCAGCTCGTATAATTAAAATAATAAAATAAAATGTTCAAAATATGTAAATTCGTTGAGACGCGTTAAACTGAATTTGTTTATTCAGAATCGTTTTTTTTTTTGTACCGATATATATATATTGCGTAGATACGGATCTAAACTAAATCGCTCCGTATGCGTACACCTTTCGTTGCCAACTTACAACAGTGGCCCCCACCTGTATGGTACGAAGTGTGTCGACTTTTTCGGGTTTTTATTAGGCATGCAATTAACTGTCCCGATAATATTGTTGATAACATTTGCTCTGGAATCATATACCACCCCATTACCGTTTTTTTTTTTTTTTTTACCAGTCTGGCACATGCAGATATATTATGTTAGGCGTGTACGTCCCAGAAACTTTTTGGACACGGTCGGCGGATGAAATTGAACGATTCTCCGCACGTATTATATTATATAGTGTATACATTATACAATGTGTCCACGAAGGTTCGACAAATGCAATAACATTTTGTTCTGTTTACTAAAACCTTAAGTTATTTAAGTCGTAAGTTGTTATGACCGCCACTATATCATCGATAGATTCCTCGTTTCGGCAATAAAAAATAATTTTTGTTAACGTTTTTTGTATACTTTTAACGATTCAACATTAATAAATATTTGTAAAGCCGACATTTTGTTTAAAAATGTATATCTATTGGATTTGGTAAAAACATTTTTTTTTTTTATTTTGAAAATTAAAATTTATTATTTTTAATTTAAAAAAATATATTTATAAAATACGATAACCGTGGAGCAAGGCTTCTTTAGAAATTATTAGGAAAAAAACCTATGTAATTATACAAACGTTATTTCGTTTGTCGAATCTTCGTTGGACACCCTGTATATGAACTAAGTTTGTAATACATTCTATACATACAACATATATACGTAGGTATATCAAACGTTTTGTATACGATTATTGCGCTATCGATTTGCCGCCGCCGTTGTCGGGAAATGCTGCGCGTTCGAGAATCCCGACGCGTTTTTTTTTTAACCTTCGCGTCTATTCGTTACTCCTCCGGACGGGTGTGCTCGCCGGGAGAAACGATCGAAAATTATCCGACTCCGTCGCGTTATAATTATCATAATATTATTGTTGGGTTATTATTTTTTCTTTTTTACTGCGGTATAATAATAATCGTCTAATTAATATTCGTCGTCGAACTCCGTACAGCCAGTCGATAAATACACGATCTTCGTCTCCACGTCGCGCCCGCCATCGCATATCGAATGACCGAACTCCGCACGGCCGATTTAAACCACTGTAATAAATTTTCATACAGAGCATCCTGCGAAAATTTGGCAAACGATAATAGTGTCTTTCGTCCCGTTCGATATTTTTTTTAAATTTTCGTAATAATATTATTATACCAAAGGTTGAAGTTGCGGTTTTTCCGTTTAACGCTTTTTAAATTTAATGTTAATCAATCGTTTCTACAAAATCAAATAGATTGATCCATATATGTTTATGTATCGATGCATATGTATCTATGAATATGAAAATATTTCGGAACAAACTTTTGGTATTATTAATAATTACTATAATGCGATGGACCGTCAGATTTTACCATGTTTCGAATTTCACAAAAATTAAAAACACAATTTGTTCTCATAGAAAAATTAGAGAATTGATTGATATTTTTTTCTGAAGTTTGAAATAATTTAAATTGTTTACATTATCGTTATACTAAATAGTAAGTCATATAAATCGATTCATTAATGATTTTTATAAACTTCAAAAATTGTAGGAACTTAACACATCGCCATTAGTGAATAATTGTAACACCAAACATTTTCTTTCAATATATATTTATAAAATGGTTATTATGGATTTCGCAAAAACAATTTTCGACAAAAAATTTAAATGTTATTTTTATTTAAAGAAAAAATATAAAATAAAGAAATTAATGCTCAAGGTTTTAGTTTAACGACAAAAGCTTAACGAGTATTAGAGCTGCAAATTGAATGCATTAAAACCTTTAACAAAAGAAATCATTTAAAATCCCAAAAACCAGCTTACAAGACACTAAAAAGTAGTCCGAAAAGCTGCTGAAACCGCACTTAAAATTTAAAAAAAAAAACAAAATACATTTTAATTTTTTTTTAAAAAAAGCACTGTACCTAAACTGTAACGATTATGTACAATAAAAATGTGACCATGATATAAGAAAACTGCAAAGTATTATTATCTTATAAAATTAAATTTAAAAAAAATCTATTAGTTATCTCTTTTTATTTGTATTTGTATCATGTTCAATATTATTTTATTCTGGTATAAAAAAAAAAACCCTCTGACGGTGGAGATCGATTTCCTCTCGCCTCCTTCGAATTCAACACACGAAGTTCATAAGGTTCGGGGATTCGAGACATTTGTCGCCAACGTCAATGTGTCATTAATGACGTTTGGATTTGCGGTTAGGTTAACGCCGGTATTCGGTAACCATAGCGATTTACCGAGTAGAAACGTATAATAATACAATCTTCATGGGCGGCGACACACCTATACAAGGTCGGTGTACATTTATGGAAGGGCAAAAAAAGAAGTAGCTCTGATAAAAAAAAAAAAAAAATCGTGCGCGCGGAAAAATAACAATAGTAATCGAATCGACTTACGATCACGAGCCCGTGAAGGGAAAAAAACACGCGAACCGACAAAACGACGACGTGCAGAATTTATACTTGCCAGTCCCAAAAACGCTACTTGCGAACATTAAGATAAAAATGTGGAGGGTAAGGGGTGTGTTCCTGTATACCTCTACGTACTATATACTTATGCGAAACATAACAATAATTTGATATTGCGTTTGTTCCCATCTGCGCGAGATAATATGCAGAAAACGTAAATTCAAATTGAAAAATGACCTACTCTCTCAACTCCCGGGGATATTAACTATAGATTTCCAAAAAAAAAAACTTTTTTTTCTCCCGGGGAAAAAACCCCGTGCGGTCTGATTGTAATAAAAAATTATTAAGTAGTTAATGAATTAGACCGTGTCCGTCGCTGTCCGTCTTTTCGCTAAACGATTAGCTAGACTCTAAAGAAGGTCCACATTTATTGACGGCTAAACCAGAGACCGAATAGTTGGGCGATTGCGGTATTTCAGTACTCCGTTTTGTCACATGGTTAACAATACGTTTGATATACAATGGACACTAGGAACTTGTACTGTAACTGCCTAATGAAAGTGTTATTTCGTGTTTATAATGATAACCAATATAAAATATTTACAAATCGCATAGAACATTTAAAGTTTGTGGACGGTTTAGAAACGGTGAAGTCGAAATGAAAGACTGATTTTTGAAGAACGGTCATGGGCTTGTATAGTGCACTATAGAATTATTTGGAATCTGAAATATTACAGTCGAATACTCACATAACGTAACGATGGCTCGATATCTCACCAGTTTCAAGCGACTTATTAACGTTTACCGGTTCATAATGCTACGATTTGGTGTTACGCACGAGGAATTATAACTCTAATTATTTTAACTAAAATTTATTGGATCACAATAGAACCGTAGGTAATCAGATTATATTTCACAAGATTTTTTGAGGCAGGGATTCCAGTTTATTTTTCAATTCCATTAGTATAATATATATATATATATATATGTATTTTTAATAATGCGTGAGAATAACATTTCGTAAATATTGTCTCCGTGATGGGTTTCCTGAAAGTTTGATCAGTTAGGTTTCGGGAACGCCCCCCAAAATTTTCGGCAAATCATTTTTTTTTTTAGTTTTTCCCACTTTAACCGCGGCTTGTAAAATATTCTTGCTATTCACTGTATTTTATTGAAATCGTCTCGGTTCCGCAGGGCCGTGTTGATTTCCTCGCCTTATCCTCCCCGGGAACCGATAGTGGTCGATGCGGTCGTATTATTGTTTTATAGACTGTAATAACAATAATAATAATATTCTCCGCAGAATACCGCGCACGATCGAGACACCGCGGACAATGCTTATTGTTGTTCGTATATAAGTGTGTTTATGTGTGTGTAATATGGTCTCAACGCTGTATTATTATAATATTAACAGTGAACGCGAGAGTAATAACCATAATAATATGTACAGAGTGATATTTTTTTATTTTTTTTTTTTTTTTTATATATATAATAACCGGGCGAAGACAATCTATTGTTAGCAAATTTTACATTCGTTCTGTAAGCCGTAAACACATAACGCATCGACTTTTGACTGTAAAATATCTTCTTTTTCCAACACTACAAATTCGAATACAGCACATTTCTCGAAATAATTTTGAAATGCATAACATTACTCTCGAACGTATCGTTTATGCGCTCTAACTACAGTTAAGCGTTCGGATCAGAGAAGTTTAGGCGACGGGGAGAATAACGATTTTCATATTCATTTTTAAATCCTGAAAAAACCTAATGTCGAATTTACTTGTAACCGTAAATAATCGCCGGGTCACGATAAAAAAAAACAGCGACAATACGATCAAATGAAATACCAAGTTCAAGGTTCCGGAGGGAGTATACAGGTTGTCGTTTAGGGCGGGATATATCCGTAGGGCGAGTTGATTTTAGTTCTTATCGAAAGGTAAGTATAATATATTAGATGCACATTCTTCTGGGTCCGCATTAATAAGTTTCGTCTAAAAGAAATATTTTTGAAAAACATTGTAAGCGCTTACTGGTAAAACGAGTCGTACGTAACAGAGCAAGGCATACCTATATCTACTTTACAAAATTGATTTGATCTACGATTATAGCTAGATAAAAACTATTTGCTAAATAGTATTTCTTCTTTAAAAAGATAATATAATATGCTAGTTCAAAGTGTTGCCATTAAGTTGTGTAAAAAAAAAAACAAAATTTCCTGTAGTGCTTTGGTCACGAGAGAGTGATGGACAAAATTATGTGTATACGAGGTGTGGCTATTAAACAACGAGACTAATCGCCTAGAGAGCGTCCTAGATGAGTAGTGAAAAAAACGAGTAATGTATTTGAATGTAGAATAATTTTTATAATAAAACACTTTTTCGTAACCAGTCTCGTTATTTAATAGCCACACCTCGTACATTTAGAAAGTTGGAAGTGACGAATAAATGGGTGATAATTCAGGATCAGCACACGATAACGGCAGGGGAACAGTGACGACGGCGATAAAAAAATTATTGTACAAAATTATTAAAAAAAAGAGGAACAAGAATATAGGGGATGATATATGTGGACTGGCGAAAAAAGTCGAGATAATAGTTATGAATAATATAATTAATCGTCGTTAAAAAATCGTTATTATATAAAACAACCATAATTACTTACGCGAATTGTTTTATTTAAAAACGAATTCGCGATTACGAACATAATATTCGTGTAAAATGTATTTATTTTATAATTTTTTTTTTTTTTTTTTTGGAGATTCTGGAAACCATTACACTGAATATTTCCTTCGGGGAAACTTATTGTTGACTCGAGGGAATTTACAATGTGCAATGATGCATATTATAACCATCCGGCAAACATGAAACAGACCCGAGACAATTTACCGGCCATAAAAATCTGGAATTTACAATCGCCCGACGCACGTAAACCCTTTTTTGTAAAGTATACCGTACCTACCGTACCTGTTCACCGGACGAACGTGTACGTACTGCAAATTCCTTAAAATATCCAATATCCGCGAGTAAATATTTGTTCGTCTACACCTCAAATTGTTATGGTCACGTTAATTATTAAACATGGTGACATTTTCGTTCCAATAATAAAACGTTGACCTACTTATCATTTCTAATTCTCGGGCACAACACACTGTATTAAAATAAATAATATACCGGGCCAATCTATAATTGAAGCTTCGTCTGGAATTTCTCGGAGTGGTCGCGAATTTCTTCATTTGTCTATCCCTTATCGCACCACTTCTTATAGCCATAATCGACCCTTCCGTATAGTGTCTCGTACCTATACTTTAACATATTTAACCGCGTATTATTTTTTTCTGTCTGTAGTACTACCGTCTTAGTTTTAATAATTGTTCTATTTCTTTAAGTCTTTGTTTACTGCAGCCGTTTGAAGTTCGAATTTGAATGAATACGAACTGTACCAGGTGATCCATTTAAATGGATACACTTATTATCTCTGAAAGGATTAACTTTTTCCGGAATTCGTTTTCTAGAACATTTAAGAAACAAGCTTCCCTATAATTTTATATTTATGTTATTTTTTTGTCACCCTTATTTTGAGGGGTAAACCACTACCTATTTTTGATTTTCAAATGGCAATCCACATTAAAAATTCTATAAATAGAGAGATTATTAGTTAAAATCATTTTTAGTGTTGACATTTTTGATTTCCGCCAATCCGTTAACGAGATGTTTCACTTTTAAATTCGGATTCGAGGAGAGTAGTGAAGTATTATGCGCGTGGCATGTTAATGAGGCACCACTACAACTATCCTCCAATCCAAACTTAAAAGTGAAATATCTCGTTAACGGATTGGCGGAAATCAAAAATGTCAACAGTAAAAATGATTTTAACTAATAATCTCTCTGTTTATAGAATTTTTAATGTGGATTGCCATTTTAAAATAAAAAATAGGTAGTGGTTTTGCAGTCGAAAATAAGGGCGACAAGAAAGAATATCAACGTGAAATTGCAGAGAAGCTTGTCTCGTAAATGCTCTAGAAAGCGAATTCCGGAAACAGTTAACGCTTTCCGAGATCATGAGTGCGTCCGCTTAAACGGTTCACCCACCCGGTATATTATCCACGTAAGTTTCCGCGGCGGCCGCGAGAAAGGAAAACGGCGCGTCGGGCGTCCCGCGGCACTGTTCCCGGGCGGTTGGGTGGCGGTTAGGTTTGGTCGTCGTCAGAAAAAAAAAGCCGGTCATAATAAAAACGTAAAGTGAGAAAATGAAACGTACCCGTCCGACGTACCGGACTGCCGCGGCGGACGGGGCTCCGGCCGGTAGACGAATTTTAATAACACGCCCGCGCGTTGTAACAACGTTTTACGGGTTCTGGCGCGCGGACAAAATATCCGGACCGTGGACGCCTTGGTGGGCACCATGCACGCGTGCAGGCGCGTACCGCGCGCGGTATACCCGGACGGATAAAACCTACGGGGAAAAATACGTGAATAATATTGTTGCGCGCCGACAGAAGTTTTATGGGTTCTACTCGCTTTCGGGAGACGCGACTACGGCCGGGCGGGTGCATTGTGCTGTGCGCGCCGGAGGAACACAGGCGCACCGGTACAGCGATCGGGCATCGTATATACGTGCTAATGGACGCGAGCCGCGACTTTTACGACTGTACCATTAAAAAAATAATAATAGTGATGGGCAATCGTCGTCCCCGGACAATATTCCTTTGTGTATTATTATTATTATTATTATTATATTATTATTATGTTTATAAACGCGCGGGCGGACGGAGGAGAAGAGCCCGTCGCGATATTACCCGTGTTATTATATGATAATAACAATAATATATTGCGCGTACCCGTTCGACGCCGTAAAAATATAACACGTCTGTTGAAGTATCGAAATCCGAACGATTTTTTTTTTTTCAGTGTCCGCCGCACATGCGAACGTTTTTGTCGTCTCGATTTATACGTATAATAGCCGCGGCCGGGTCGACGTCTAAGGTAACCCGCGCAACACGATGAAAATAATAACGGCCGATATCGGCTGTTCGGTTGCGGGTCCGATCGGGAAAAACAAATTCTGAATATTCTTGAAACCGTTCGACGTAGTTATATCGGGGACGGAGGGCGGAGGGCGACCCAGGAGGGGACGGGCGAAATAATTAAATTTAATATTAAGAAAAAAAGACGTTCACACTTCGCACTACTGGTGAACCACTGTTATAGATGAGAAGTTGGAAAAGTAAGATATTGAATGTATATCTGTACCTAAGCAAATTTAAGCGTTGCCAATAAAAACGATTCTAAGCGGAACTCGGATAAGAGTATTGCTCAGTGGCGTCTTAGGGTCAATTCCATGGAGAGGAGGCAAATCATTTTTACTCTTGAATACCACCGCTTTGGTCAACAAAAACCTAAAACTTTTATGCGTGATGTCATTTCAACTTCTATGAGCTTAGAAGACTGCAGATATATTGTACAAATATTATTTTATTGCAGTATAACAGTGTGATATAAAAATTAAATTTATTTTTTACACATTAAATAAATAATAATTAAAATAATGATAATAAGAATAACAAAAATAATAAGAATAATAATTGATAAAAGTTAGATGACAGAGTCCATGATATATAAGTCGAACAGATATATTCTTCACCACACTCAGAATATAAAATTTAAATTATAGTAATCACTTCCAATTTTGATTCTACAAATATATTATTTTATTATATCTTTGAAAATTGATTGTTTTCACTTAGTTTTCAATAATTCTATCTCAATCTTAAGAGAACATTTGTTGAAATTTATAAATGAGAATTGTTTCATTTTTGTTTCAATCAAAGTATTTCCAAGATCCGGAATCATCTTAATGGTATTTAGAATCAGTTACATTTGTACTTATTTGTACTTAAGAATTATGGATAATTTGCATAAAAAAAAGAACACCACACGGGGCACGGGGGGGAGCGATTTCCTCCCCCCCTTCAGGGACGTGCTTGATCAACCCAGTTGAGTCATTATTCAATTTACTAAATATACTCGAAAACTTATTAGAGAAGACTGAAAACGCAGCTCAAGGCCTTGAACGAGCAGCCAGCAAAATAGGTTTGAGATTCAATGCCAAAAAAGCTAAAATAATGGAGTAGCTAGAAAACGGAGACAACCCTGATACGGGGTCCCTAACTTTCGAAAAACTCAATTAATTCCAGTATCTAGGAGCTATGCTCAGCACTAAAAATGATTGGTCGAAGGGAATAGGAGTGAGGATAACAGAGGTTAAAAGAGCGGCATTTGCCATAATAAGTACTTAAAATTAAAATTATTTTCAAAGAAAGCCAAAACTAGATTATATACGCCAATAATAAGGTCTAATAATACGCTCACCTATGACTGTGAAACTTGGATAACTACCAGTACAATCGAAAGAAAGCTCAAGACATTACCACGAATCTATGATATGAACAAAATGATCCAGTTCATTGTTATTAATTATTGATAACAATGAAATATTTTGTGATTAATAATGAAAATATCTGTATAAAGCAAAGTGTGATATTTGTGTTATTATTTAAGTACCTACTACCTATAAAATTAATTTTAATATAAATATACAAAATTAGATTAACCTATTTGGTTCCCTCTTCTCCTGGAAAATATTTCCGCAGTCACTAGTGATGTTGGCAAAACAAAACGTTTGCCCTCTTCCCCTGCCATAAAGGTCTGCGCACACCTATGGATTTACAGCTCGTATTATTTTGAACACTATAGGATATGATTAGCTATTTGACCAATTATTTTTTTTTTTGAAGCGAAAAAAAAAAGAAAAAATATTATTTACTCGGTTGCACAAAAATAATAAAAGCAATAATATTGGCATGTTATTTTGAATTCCGTGTACAAATATTGCATTACTTTTTTTTTTTTTGCATATTATGGCTCAATGTTTACACCGTATTTCGGTGTTTTTATTCACATCATACCTATTTTGTTTTTTTTTTTGTTTTATTTTTATGTACGCAAGTTCCGAACCTTGATAATAACAACACTATTATAATCATATAATGCGTATAATATAATAGAAACAAAAAAAAAACAACTAAGTTATAATAATTAGTCGTGTTCACCTCCCACGCGTATTATTATATTATTATTTTATTCTGCACGACATACACAGTACGTTGTCTTCGTGGGTCGTGAGTACTCGAGACGTAACGAATTTATTACGTGTAATAGTCGAGTTGAGCGGGTATACTCCCATAAAAAAGAAAAAAACCCCACCCGTTTATGATTTATCGTTTATAATACAAAAATATTATGCCTTCGTTAATTATTATAAAAACACAATGCATTCAAATTACAAAACAAATAACGTGAACTATTGACGATTTAGATTATGAGTTCACGCCAAAATAATACAGGTATATAAAATGGTGGCTCCAAAAAGTACTCCATACCATAATATAGTATCTTATAGGTACGTGCTTCGCGCTTCTGAATCTTAAAAAATCGAAATATTATATTAAATAATTTATATAGAATCATAAGTGTTTATAGAAAACGTAAGAGGAAGAGGAGAGGAAAAGCGAAAAAATAAACGGTTGGATGGTATAAAAATGATACGAGAACGTCCGGTGTACACGAGGTGGGATATCGGGTCGAGTGGGGATTTATAACGAGGTTAGCCGACCTCAAATAATTAGAATGAAGGTGAAGAAGAAAAAACATTATTGGGAGAGTTACCCCCTCCCCCCAAAAAAAAATAATCATTAGCCCCTTAAAGTTATTTTTAAATAGTTTTTGATCATTACTAAAATAACCCCTCTAAAAATCAATAAAATCTTCGCCTCTAAGAAAAAGAAGAAGTTTTAATGTAAACAAATTATATTACGAATTCGTGGGTTTTAATAGTTTTGTCACTACCGAAGAAACCGTAGAATGTGAGTTGTCTTTATATTGTATTTTTTACGGTTCATAAAAGTGTATTTATTGTAATTACTACCTAATGTTATTATTTTTTTTTTTTTTTTTGATCTCGTTTTATCGAATTAAAAATAAAATAGATAAACGAAAAAGTTTTGATATCTGTTAACGAAATATTTGGTTTTGCTAAGTGTCATTCAGAAAAATGTGCCGTAAAAGGAGAGCAAGTTATAAATCTATTTATGTATAGCAATCAAATTTTAATAAACTACAGAGTAGGTACATTATTAATAACCAATCGTTAATTTTAGGATTTTACGATTTTATAAATGTAATAATTATTGAATACCAAACTTTTACCCATTATTCAATATTATAATATCGTAACATGCGAGACACAGTATATTATCCTACGTGAAAACGGGTCGTAGAACACAGTATAATATTGATGATTGAATCACAAAAGCTAAAAAAAAAATGGTGTACCTATTCAAAATAAAGTTGGACGAATTTGTTTACTTATGTTTAAGAGTGGAGTAGCACAAGTTATATGAATCAAACACGTAAACAATATTAAAATAATAAAACTAAAAAGGGGCGTTTAATACTTTGGTATTTTAAAAAAAAACATAATAATATTATTAAAATAATTATTTTTATAAACCCAAAAGGTACCAAGTTAGGTATTTAACACTAACGGCTCGTATTCAATATAGAAAATACAAATGTATAATTTATGAAAATCTCGTTGTTAAATTCGTTGTTTGCCCGAAAGAAGGGATTAAGTTCATATTGGACTTTTTTCATTTACATGCATAATATTTTATTTATTTTATTTCATTTTCAATACGGACCGTGGCTCCCGAAGTACAATTAAAATTTAACATAATGTATAGTTTCAAAAATGTAATTAAAGATAGAAGACAAGTTAAGTATGAAAAAAAAATAATAATAAGAGTGAGAAAAAATACATCAGAACAACTTATAAACTAAAAAACGGATTCTCCTTGGCAAGACGCATCACCCTATATTATATAGTTTTTTTTTTTTTTTTTTAACAGCGTAAATGTATGTATATAGTGTATTCTATAACTCATAAGTCTTGTTATTTATTATTATGTTTATTTATACAGAAAACAATAAAAGTGTCTCAGGTCGTTAAAATGTATTGCTTTTTGTTTTGCAATAAGTCCATTAATAATAGGATTTAAGCCACTTAGAACGAACAATTATTTTTTTTCCTAATCGATACATTTGGCTTATGTCAACGTTTATATTTTGAATCGTTAATATATAAATAAATAAAATAAAAATAATGTATCAATTGAAATTTAGTAAACATTATAGAATTTAATAGACATAAAGACCGTCCCACCAGTGGTAGATCAATGGGGAGGGGTTAGACGATGGAAATAATCGCCTCTGATATAGGTACTTTCAGCTCAAATATACTCTTAGCTTGATTCGTCATAAATGTACGCCTCGTAATCATTTCCAAAATCTCCCACTCTTACTCACCCGTTATCTTGTTCTGGATCCGTTCCTGTCTTCCGCCGCTTCCTGTTTGGTGGGTTACGGAAGAACGGGAAATAAAACGCATGTACCACGTCACGGTTGTTGTCCCGCCGATTTTTCAGTTGCACAGATAACACAACTGTAGTTGTGGACAAATTGTCCCATATACATTTTGTTTGACTTGAATAACCAATAATATACACATTTTCGTCGCGGAAATATAAATATTTTATTTTCACTTTCAGAATTTTTTCAAATTACCTACGATTTGCTTGTATTGAAAACTAAGAATGATGAATATTAAACTTAAGCCCTTACAATAGGGAATCAAAGATTTATCGTTCGTGCCAGTATAAGTAATCCCATTAAAAATATATAATAATATACAATTTTCGTACTGGGTACAAATTGATCAGATGAATATAGTTGAATTGGATATTTAATTTTGTGATTTTGATCGATATTTTGTTACTTGCAAGACCGACGACGTTGCGGCCTGGGTCATACTGCACTAAACACAATAAAAACAAACTAGTGCTACTTGAGAGGAAAATCGTGCAAAGAATATTTTGACCCGAAGAAAAATATGTAAAGAGAGGCGGCTTCGAAACAAATTCAACCTGCAGAAAAGGAACTGTGTTTAACTTTATTTAACGATAGAGAAGTTATACGCGAGAGTCAGAGAGTAAATAAATGAATTAGACATGTGCGGGGAGTATATAACTGAATCATAAGATCAGTATGTATAAACGTAATGGAAACCTGATAAAATACGGATCGAGTCAAAGACGATCTAAATATTTTAGGAATACTGTGCAGCGAAAAATTGATGTTGCGTGGACATGCTCGGTGTGATATCAAAGAAACGGCCACGGGCCTAAATGGCCTAGAATAAGTCATAAAAAAACAAATAAAAATGTCGATCGATTGCACGCGTCACAAAAACAGTCGGCCGAACACTACACAAAACACGAAATACAATGCATAAAATAACGTTTTTATGCGGTTCACCTTGGTGTTATTATACAATGTATATAGTAATGTGTGCATTTTATATATTATGTATGGGTATAATATACATACAAAATGTCGGAATAATATGTCAAAAATACGCAATTACAATAGACTATACATTGTAAGTATAAGTACAAGTACAGAAAACACAGCGTATTATTTATTAAAATACCCACGGCTGCGAAGAAAGTGTCGAACGAAATAATTGATTTTAAAACCGATCGATTTTCACGTGCGTTATTTCTCGTGCCGGGAAATTATACTTGTATACAGGGTAATTTTTTTCAAACATAATCTACCGACAATCCAAACACCAAAGACACATGTTATTATCAACTGTATTGATTTTCAATATTAGATTTGAAACTAGAATAATTGTCCGAAAATGTAGTTATAGGAAACACTTTGCAACCACACACTCTCCGGTCTAAATTTGAAATTGCTAAAACTCATAAACGGTATATCCGTTATTAATGGTGTTACACATGATATTAATATGTTTCTAATTTATATTTAAAAGGAGGGGGGAGTTACCGTTTGAAAATTAAAGGAGCAAGGATTCACTATATTCGAAAACATTGTTAAAATAAAGCGTTAGAAGATTCGAAATTAATATATTTTTTTCTTTCTCTATCTAAAACATACGTTGCGTAACAGTTTATATCGATTATTTTCAGTTCGTCGATGGAAAATTATGTGATCGGTGTAATCAAGTGACCGGAATGTTTATACAAATTTGAATCCAACGTGAAGTATACAATAAGATTGATCATATGATAAGATTTTTTTAAAATACATTCAAGTAATTTTTTTGGAAATTAAGAACTGCAATTCGAAAAAACGGTCCCTAACCGATCTTATGAACATTTCCTGTTTAATACAAATCTGTTTTCAGAATTCGTGTCTCTTTACTACATTGATCGGACTGATGGACAGAAAATCGGTATAAATCACTAATTATGTCGCGTATACGCTCTAGACAAACAAAACAAAATTATATCGATCGAATAATTCGATAACGATTGCAAATAACAGAAATCGAAATTTAAAATCCACCGAGCAAATCTCTGGATCACTATAGACAAAAACAAGTCACCCTGTATAGAGACGTGTGACTCGCTGCACGAGCCTATTTCGGCGGTCACATAGCTTTATATTGAAACTCGCGCGTGGCTTAACGATTTCCAACGACGACGGAAACTCAACGACTTTTAAACGGTTTATGGAACGGAATACGCACGAGGGAACCCTCTGAAAATCTATAATTTAAAGTCTCTCCGCCACTCTAATATTATACGGTTGAATGTTGAAAAGCAAAAAGTAAATCGAAACCGACGGTTAGTACTAAATTATACTGGAAAAGAAAAATACACAATTCTCCACTATACATAATATACTTACATTACACTGACTTAAAAATTTCTTTTCCTTTTTTTTTTAAAAAATTATATTATGTCTATATAAATGTATACCAAAGGAAAATATAGCCGATTTAAATGTAATTACTTATATATATTTTCTTCATTAGTTTATAGAATAACGCACAGTCAACTTCGCTATTGTGTGAAAAACGGGCGTCCCCAAAAGTATCAGCATTCTTTTTTCTTTTTTTTCACTTTCGATAGTTTTTCCTAATTTAATTCAAAGTCTTTAAACTTTAACTTTAACGCCTGCAGTGCCCAATTAAACGTTTACACATAAATAGCCACGGGCGCAATTAGGTTATTTCTTCTACTTAAAAACGATTACCGTTAAAGATACGAGTTTTCCGATAGGTGCAGATGGCGTAGTGGTGTATATTTTGTTTGAAATTCACCGTTTTCACCATCATTAACAATTAAGTTTAAAAGTATGTATTATATACTTACTATTAAATTTATATACATAATATGGACAGTGTGGGTAGTCGAACGTACATTTCAGACGTTCTGCGAATGATTATAAACGTCAGTTTTTATGTTTGCCCGGAACCATCGTAAAACCGTTTGTCAGATGAAATGTAAAGTTTTAATCGTCTAATTGAATACACACTTGTATATTAATTTAGTTTTAAATGTATAAGCGGGAATGTCGAGTAATTTCGTTGTAATTCCGATAACATCGTCACATTACAATAAAATAATATGACTGTTTACGAGTTAATTACGAATGCGGTAAAAAAGATTTACAACTCATACTAATAATATAATGAAAATGTGTATATATATAATAATAAACAACTAATTAACTAATGTTTGATACTAGAATTTGTACACAGTTCAAATTTAATAAGCTGAGTGATTTTAACTTGTAACTCATGTTCGTTTTGCTTCCTTTTTTTGTTATCTAACTATAGTAATTAAATATGTTTGTTTTTTTATTTTTTTACATTAACTGAATCAATAACCTGCAGTTTATTCGTTCTGCTATACGATGTTAAGTTAATCTCTTTGAATTTTGAATTAAACATAATATTAAACTTACCATTTAAACACTGTATTATGATTTATTTGATATCACGGTAAAAATAATATTTATTTTTTTTTACTCAATAATGTATCTGGATTTTTGAAGCAAAAAAAAAGTCTAACTTACAATTTTCACGGCATAAAATACATATTTTTAAAATATTATAAACTCCGTATCAGTTTTTAATCGTTTTATTCGTGAAAATAACAATATTACAAATAAACAAACCAAACTTCTTAAGTTAAGGTAACAATTTAATGAAATGTTCATGTTATTAACTTTTGACGTGTTAATTCGCTTTTTTCAATTAGTCGTTAAAACGCCTTGATTACGTTAAAATATATTTTAGTTGAGAATTCCAAAAGTTTTACTATGATGCATATTTTTTTTTTCTGACTGTAAACAACTTTTCTACTAAAAATATCGCTCTAATTAACAAATGACAAGAGACCTTTTGTATTGCATTTTGAATATATAGTTGGTTAGTCACGTTTTTCGATTTTCCAATCGGTTTTTATAATAATTGAGAAAAATCGGAAAAAACATAGGAAATACGAGAAAGTATATGCAATTTTTGGTTTCGTTTTTTCGGCTTCTGATTTTTATTGTAAATCGGTTAAACATTAATAGAAAGCTGACGTATTCGCAGAATATTTATATTGGTTTTTCTTAAACGCGGTATAATTGTTCGACTAAACAGAAATGCTTGAAAATTTAATAGGGAATTCGTTATAAGTTTAGCGAAATGGAGTGGCTTTTTTTATATAAGAGTTTTGAGTTTAAATTTTTTCGAAAATCGTAAATATTACGGACTGAAAAATCATATATAAACGAACTTCACTCGGAATCGTTTTCGGTTAGCAACGGTTTATCGTTGGTTACAGATATAAACTAAATAACTTTGGGTATCCTATCTTTACAATTTTCTACCTACAGTATAAAACGTATATTTATTTGGTTCTTTTTTTATTATTCTCAGAGGTTATAATACAGGTATACTTATATTTCACTCTAAATTCTTAATAAAGCGAAGCCGTATATAGGATTTTCTTAGATCTAGCTTATATAATAGTATCCTCATTGTATATTACTTCAGTACATATACGGTACGAATATCACTAGCTTTCGTTATACCTACACGGACTTAATACACGGACAGGGTTTTGTAGATATATTCTATAGGATATCTCACGAGGGTCTATTTCGTCAATAATTTAATTTTTTACAATTCGTTTGCAATATATTCGAACTCCTGCACCATCGCAGTTCCAGTTTATTCTGAGTACATCATGCATAATACATTTAAAACGGTCAATCGCTCGTTAATAGTGTATACCTGTACAAAAGCGTTCAAATTTATACAACCATTTTCAACTCGATTATAATAATGAGGTTAAATAAAAAAAAAATAACCGCCGTTCTATTAAAAGTTCGTGTGGGCCAAAAAAAAAATGTACACATTTACACCTCGTTTAGTTATACAAGTATTTTCTCAAATCGATCGAAACAGTATTCAGTACCAACGCCGCCGCCGCCGTACGGATTTCAGTTTTGCCGTTTTACAATATTGGTTCGTTATTATAAATAGCTAATTGAAAAGCAGCTGCTAAATAATTCCGGAGAAATCGTTAGGGTAACGAATATGTCCAATTCCAGTCAATAATTGGGTATTATAATATTATAACTGTGCAAGGCAATTATTTCAATCGCGGTTTGAATTGACGGTAATAGGTAATCCGATCACAGCGCCACCGCAGGATAGGCATTACAATAACGTATACAATAAATATCGAGTATTAAAAACCTTTACAATATAATTACTCGGCAAGTATGCAATCAAGAAGAAATAAATCACCCGTAAGTAGCAGAGCTCCGTCGTTGGAGTCGAATTCCTCCCCCTCCCACTCACCGGTCGATTTGTCGCCGATACAATATTTCGATTTTTTTTTTTTTATAATTAATTTAAACTAATTCTGGTTTCCAGCCGGTTGTTTGCCGGCATTAATATTATCTTACATTGTGTATACTTAATTAGATTAAATTTGTAGTTATTTATTTGTATGCCATTAATACTTCCTTTAATCTACATAACGATCTTTCTACTGTACGCGAAATTGGAAGTAATGATAATAAAACATAAAGTATTTGAAAAATCCCACGATAATATTCGCAATGAGCCAATAAATCAACAAACGAAATGCCGTCACATTTGGAGTCAACCAAATTTTTATCAATCCAAATATATCCAATATATAATCCGATATATTTTATCATATTTTTCAATTTGAGAGTGTTCACCAATAATCTTAATTTTTGATGATGCTATTTCTAATAATAATTGGGTGCAATAGACTTATTGAAAATTCTGTTTATTTGCACTTCTAAATAAGAGAGAAAGTCTATAATACTATATAATGAATACAATTTTGACGATTTTTTTTTTTTATCTGGACATAATTCGTGAAATTTCGATTTCTGCTTTAATTTGTTCTGCTATATTTATACAACAGAGACACGACTATAAGGAAAATTAAGAACAAGTAAGAAATTACGGGATTAGAATACAAGGACTTTGGGTCAGGTTAGGTCTATATGCCGGGAGCACGGCCAAATAATGAAATCGACATTTTTATAACAAAGTGGATCAAATGGTGACCGCGGTAGGTAACGATTAATTAACTTTGAATTTCGACGGTAGTGACCGCATATCGGAGTACAGCGAAAATCGCGTACAAATGACGTATTTCGCAAAGCCCAATTCTTACACGGTTATAATATTACTACCGCCTTTTTTTTTTTTTTTGCGTTTTAATTTAAAACGAAAATAGCGGTAGAAAATATTACGTTATCCTTCTTTGTTTCGCCCTTCGCATAACAACAATACCATCGCGTTCCACTATTCTGCAGTACGGGGAGTTTATCGTTTTGCATTTTTCGAGTTTATGAAATGACAACTCGCGTATAATAATAATGTGTAATTGTATAATACAAACACAGCGTTTCGCATACCCGAATCGTCATCGCGCAATAAGCACCGGGTATACGCACTGCAGACACGCATTCCTTTGAAATTGAATAAGCGAACGTTTTCATTCGCCGTACGAATAAAAATGTACGATTTTATCCGTTCGATAATCAAGAATCTCGAACATTCGCGCGAAACACAGACACCGACACGTCCGCACATAATACGACGTACTTACATAACACACGTACACATACAATAGTCATATACAATATGTATTATACAGATATTGTATTTGAATACCTTTATGTGTGTGTGTGTGTGTATAATATAATAATGCGAACAAATATAAACGCAATGTCTACGTTTGTAACGTGCGTATGTTATTGTATATTATTATAAAATTTAGCAGTCGATATTTTCGTACGAAACATTTGTGTATATAAACGCGAATAATATTTATAGCACAATATTCTCGATGTCACTGTGCATAACACATTTTTGTCGAATTTCCCCTAAACACAGAGGAAAACTGTCGCACCTGTAATATACGTAATAAGAGCCAAGATGCACTAAAAATCATCGAAAAATGCTCTAAAAAAAAAAAAGTTAAAAACGACTTTAAAAAATATGTCCTAGAATAATGGGGACGGATGCAGCCACTGTTATAGATGAGAAATTGTGAATGTGCTAGAGGGGAAATATAATATATATCTGAATACGTAATAATTAACCATTGCTAATGAAAAAACGATTCTGAGGGAGTTCGATTGATAGTATTGCTTTATCAACAATATATATGACGTTATATTGTGATAAAATAATTAAATATGGATTGTATATTTTCTTTAATAATATTTGTTTAATATTGAACCTATTTTGTCGTTTTGCTCCGTTTTTTCTCGGATTTTCCATTTATTAGGAAACTCCTTGGAAAATCAAAAAATATGAGCAAAATTGCTAGTAGTAAAGTTTTCCACAGATAAAAAAAATATAAACATCATTATAAAACCAAAACGTTCCTCACTCCACTCAAAATCTAAAATGCATTATTCCGAGAAAATGATCTTAAACATTTTTTTTAATTTATTGTTTTATTGGGTAATTTATAATATTTGTATTTTATTTCAAAAAAGAAAAAAAAATTAAAAAATTTGACTTGTGACTAGCGACGATAGTATTGTGTGAAGGGTTATTGAGTTAAGAATTATTTGGACTGATTAACTAAAAAAACCCGTAAAACATGGGTAATATTTTGAATCAGCTAAATTTAATTTGATTAAATTGTATCATTACCAAGTGTATTTAATCAATGATAATATTATGTACAAATACTATATAATATTCTACTCGTATATTATATAAATATAAATAAATAAAACGAAAAAAATGACCGAAAAATACTCTAAAAATGAAAAAAAAAAAACATTGAAAAATGCAAAATAAAAGTATCACCTTTGAAGTCTTTGTTTAATTATTGATAAATGAATCAAATTTTGAACTTAGAAAGCGTTGTCTAATTTCAACTAAAAAAAGATGCATTTTGCATTGAAATCCGTGTCCTATACACAATATATTATCGGTGCATTTGGACACTCGTAGTGGCCTACCTTCAGCCAAAAAAAGCTAAGAAATTAGAATTTATTTCATAGGCCGATCGATTCGTTAAGAATTGGTTAAATTTCAATACGAGCTTCACCGTATTATTGCAGTAGTTAAGAGGAAGTTTTCTCAGAACTGTTCACCCCTACAGACCCCCCTCCAAAATAAAGCAAGGTGGACGCTATTTTGTATACACACGTGGTATAAGTATCAAAGTCGTGCCTTTCGGCGGTCTTAACTTTCAACTCCTTCCGCAACCGTTTTTACGAAATTCAACTCTTTCACAGTGGAAATACTGAGTTTTAAATAGGTATACTTTATATTATATTGAATAGTAATAACTCGATTAAAATGTGAATATAATATAAACAGGATTGGTTTCAAGAACGTGTCATTTAGATGGTATGAACTTTCAACTACCGAGTCTACCATATGTTCATATGTATAAGAGCAAAATACGAGACACCTTCATTGCCTATTTTGATAAAATTTGTTTTGTTCAATTGTTTATAGTTATAAAAAAAAAAAAGCACAAAATATTGTCACCGCAACAAGTCAACTGTGGGAAAATTTGAATCTAGTGGTGAAGCACTGTAACTCGTGGTTTTTTTTTACACAATATTTATAAGAACTTCGAATAATTTAAAAGTTTTGAATACGAAATAACGATGATTTTACGCGATTCTGCGTTCGAGTTCAAATATATATATATTTAACCATTTCGATCACTTTTCAAGAACTTTCGATGGGCCGCGGAATACCAAAAGTTGCTTTTAAAACACGTGTGATTATGCAGGCCACAAACCTCGCACGGACCAATAAGCAAAAAAAAAAGTTTAAAAAATTTATCAGCAAAAGATTTCTATAAAACTATAGCATAAAGTTCCTATATAAAAGCCGAAAAAAAGGTCATCAACATTCTATTAAAGTAATGCGCAAGCAACTATATCCATTATCCGCTATACATTCAGGCCAGGCCGAATTTATAACACCACCCTGCGCCAAATTACGGAATTTCAAATTCTCAAATAAATATAAGTGATATTATGTTGGTACGTTAAATACTAAATTCAATTTTGTAGGTATTGCCTAACGGAGAATGCGGGATGACACATTGTCTCGCAAATCACCGGTAGTCGGCGGACCATAGATTGGGAATCACTGATGCACACTTCCCAACTTCCCAACTCCCCGTCTATATAACTGCAGTAGTCTACTCATTTGTTTGCGATAATTAATTTAGGGTTTAGAAAAACATATTACAGCGGGTCTATAATTGGCAGGTCCCTACAATATTCCCAACCACAACTCGCCATTACACGTCTTTCCCCCTCTATTTTGATAAGAAACAAAATTACTTCAAACGAATATTTTAATGCGTGTCATCAATTCATCGCGACACATAAATATTCGATTATTTTAATACTTTATAATCGAGTGGTGAGACAAACAAAAATAAACTGTCGATAAAATACATAACCCCGTTTGACAAATTTCGGGGCGTATACACGTCTCTTAGGTACTATATACTTACCTACGAATAATAACCATACTAAAATTATTGATTTTTCTTTTTGTTTTTTTTTTTTTTTTTTTTTTTGTTTTTTTTTTGTATTTGACAGCTATATATGCATATGCCCATGTGAATATACTACAATATACTTATTACGCAGTTTATTTTCTAAACGAAATTATCATCTTTTTTTTTTAACCAATGCAATAACAGTAAAACAACAAAAACAAAAAATATCTCGGAAAGTATTAATTTTTTCTGGAATTTGTATTCTAGAACACTTAGGAAAAGAGGAGCTCTACAATTTTATGTTATTTTTTGTCACCCTTATTTTTGGGGGTACTAACTACTTTTTATTTTCAAACGGAAACTTATATTAAATAGTCCATAAATAAATGGAGTATTAGTTAAAATCAATTTTAGTTTTGAAATTTTTTATTTCCGTTGATCCGTTGACAAGATATTCCACTTTTAAGTTTAGGTTGGAGGAGATTAGTGAAGTGTCATTTGTGTGGCGATACACCGCACGTATTATTAATGAACCACTACTCTCCTCCAGCCTAAAATTAAAAGTGGAATATCTCGTCAACGGCTTAACAGAAATAACAAATTTAACAAACACTCAAATTTATTTTAACTAATGCTACATTTATTTGTGGAATTTTCAATGTAGTTTGTCGTTTGAAAATCAAAAGTAGATAGTGATTTTACCCCAAAAAATAAGGGTTACAAAATATAACGTAAATATAAAATTTAAAGCTGGTTGTTTCTCAAATGTTCTAGAAAACAAATTCCGAAAAAAGTTAATTCTTCCGATATAATGAGTGTACCCACTTAATGAATCACCCGGTACGGTACATTACAGTTTTATCCGGGAAGCAATGTGTCGTTTCCCGAACACGTTCGTCCAAACTTTATAATATTATTTATGCATGATTTTAGTGCGAGGCTATATAAGTGAGCAGTAATAACAGGAAGTAGTATTGTATTATAATATTATATTATAGATTGTTGTAAAACTTCAGACGTTTCTGAAATTCGAAAAGTTCTTAATTCAACGCGCGTACATAGGTGTACAATTTGAATTCATACTTTATTCGCAATGATGTTCTTTTACCGGAACAAAAATAACGTAAATAGCAATGCTGGACCAGTTTATGAACAATATCAAATCGGTTAGATTCCGTTTAGTTAATGGAAACAAATAGTTAACGTTAGGTACGTTAAAAGTTATTTGTTTTTTCGATCAACTAAATAATGTTAAAAATTAACACGAAAATTGAATAAAATGATTAACGCAAAAGTAAATTTGAGTTAATTTAAACGTTAAATTTTCGTATTTAATGTATTTTTGTTGGTTTAATTTAAACACATTTGAATTTTATTCCGGGAATATCAAATTATAATTAATTTAAACTTGGAATTACGCACTCTCGAATCACCAAAAAAACGTATTTATATGACGGGATTTTTTCGAATAGTGTACGTATTGTAAGTTTAATATCGCAGACGTGTTTAAAATTAAGAGAAATCGAAACCGAGTGAACGGGGGGTACAATTTAAAATTAACTTGTTAATTTTTACGGCAATGTAAAAAGAAGTTTTGTTAAAAGTTAAGGAAATAAAAATCATGATTCAAATCCAAATCGACTTGACGTTTCACGCTTAATGTGCATATTCTTAGACTAAATTATGTTTAAAATTCTAAAACTTTTTTGTGTACCAACGACGGTCCGGAATTTCTATTCTATAAACATAACCCGTACAGAATTCATCCTGACGCTACGTATGTTGGATATTATACGCTTATACACATATACATAATATGCCTACATCCTTCGTACAATGAGTCATACATTGTACAAGTTCGTAGCGGTAAGTCGAAATATTTACATTTCAAAGACGTAATACCGATCCCGGTAATCTCTTTAAGCCAAACGCCGACCTCTTATTTATATAGCTACTGCGTACTTCACAGTGCACGCGCGCTGCACTCCATATTCCGCTGCACGACGGGTAATAGTGGTAATACAAAATATTATATTATTATACTATACGTTATTTAAATTGGCATACTATTATAATAATAATAATAATAATGTAACATAACGTATCAGATAACCGGATAATATGGCATTATATTCCTATACGGAATTACATATTACGACGCGGGTGAGAAAGAGGGGAAATTAATAGAAAAAACCTACCCAAGACTGTAATATAGTTGTGAAAATAGCAATGAATCGGTTCGAGACCGTTGGCAACGACGGTTGTTCGCGATTCGGATAAGACGATAAATTAATAATTATAATACTGGTATATATACAAGCGAACGGGGCGTTTGTCATGAATATGGGTCGGCAGCTGTGTTGTAAGTAAGAAGTTGATAAAGTAGGACACACGCAAAGTGATTTTTCCCACGATAATCCAGTATCAATTATCTATGAAAATGTTGAGTAAAATTAATTTCGATTTCGTTCAGCCATTATAACTACGTGCATTTGCTGTCTATCGTACTTCCGATAATTTTATGTTATTGTGCCAAAAACTGATTAGTATCAAAAAGTCGATTTTAGGGTTAAGTATACCTGAAAAATAAGGTTTACGCTTTATTGTGTCAAAGTATTACATAGGTTATTCTCTATTATTCTAGAAGTTATACACCGAAAAGGATTAACTGGTTAATTGGTGGATATAAAATTGTGACATTGTAAGAAGCCGGCCACAAATAATTATTGTGATCATTAATACGTCAAGACACGTAATATAGACAATAATAAATATTCCGTTACAATTTTAAAAACGTTTAAAATAAAATGCTAATATATTTTTCGATGTCCGTCCTGAACAATATAGTAATGACCCTTATCAGCTTTTAATTGCACTGGTACAGCAATATAGTACTCAGGCCTCGATGGTCTAATACACTTATCTTGGGGGGATGTTATAAAGCTTGTTTCATAGGGATATCATTACAAACTAAATTTCAATCATTGATATTAATTGATTTGTATACATTTTTAACTACAAAATTATTTAATGAACAATTTGTCACAATTTTCTGACGGGATTTCGGGATTTCTTTGTATTATCGGAACTCCGTATAAAATTACTTCTATGAACAGAATTAAAAAGTTGCAACACATGAAAGTCGGAGCAAGTTTACTAGGAAAAAATGTGTCCACAGACTAGAACAAAGAAAAAAAATAAACATTATATTAAATCCAAAAGCTCCCCCGCTACGCTCGCAATCTAACAACAAAAAAGATTATTCGATTGAAAATCCAAAAATGTATTACGAAGACTACTGTGAATATTTTTTTTTTATTTTGTTAAACTGAACAACATTAATAAAATAACTTTTATGAATGAATCAAAAATATAATAACATTTCAAAAATAAATTATTATTTTAGCGCATGTTTCGAAGAAAACGTCATTACTTGAAAAGACGCTGTATAAATATTTATCTAAATTTATATAATTGTGGTCATAAATAGGGCGATCGAGTCCCCCCATCATCTTAACCACGTCGTCACCTATACGCGGTATACGCATATAGTTGGTACCTATATTGTATTAATTATAATATTATCTATTACATATATATATATATACGTTTTTAGCTCACCGGTGATTTGTAAATGTCCGAACGGATTGCCTTTGGACGGGCCCGTACAGTTCCACCGATGGGTGCTGAACTGCTGTTGGCATTCTTGTTTCGCCATGCGTATACCGTGGCCGACGGCGGCCATCGCGTCAGGCGCAGCGGCGCAAATCCTCCGTTGACCGGCCGTCAGACCAACTATCCTGTTGCAGATCACTTGGGCGCCGAACGCACTGGCCAGCGTCCTGTAAACATAATATAAGCAGATAAATATTAACACTCATCGATGAAAAGTAAGGGGAGAAAGGGGATTCTGAGTGGAAAAAGTTGAACATTTTTCGATAAATTTGAAAATTGTATACGTTCCATGACTGCAAAATAAATAGGCAGTTACAATTGTTGTTTGTGTTTTAAAACGAATATTTTAATCATGGATTCGAACTTAAAACGCGTAAAAATGTTAATTGTGACATTGTTTTATTGATGACGCTCAGTTAAACAAAATTTGCCATACCAAAAACCTTCCAGTTGACGACTGAATTGAAATTTCTTGTTTACAGACGAGGAAAAGAACATATTACACTATCATAGTGTCTAGTAAAATTAACACGCGTTGTCCACATCGTTCAGAAAAACCTTTTTTTTTATTTAACTTAAATGTGTCATTAAAGATGACTGTTGTAATAGGGCATCCGAAATTAAAATATCTGGCTAATAATGTAATTGTTGTGAATATTATCTACCCTATCGAAAATATGTTGAAACTGAAATATACATGGAAGACGTCTAGATGAAGTGATCAAATTAATTGCAATATTGTAAAAACAGATGAGTCTGTTTCAATGGCATATTTACGAGGAGAGAGTTCAAAGAGTTCGGACCCCTCCCCCCCG